CGCTCACGATGTCGGTCTGATCGCAATCCGATCCAAGGACAACGGCCACCTAGAGGGCTTTAACATCCTCGCCGGCGGCGGCATGGGCGTGACACACAATAACAAGAAGACTTATCCTCGACTGGGATATATGATGGGCTATGTGCCTGCCGACGTGGCACACTTGGTGTGTGAAAAGATCATGCTCGTGCAACGCGACAACGGCGACCGGAAGAACCGCAAGCACGCACGGCTCAAGTACACCATGGACGACATGGGCAACGAGGTCTTCAAATCGAAAGTCCAAGACCTCCTCACCCCCCTCGGTATCACCTTTGAGACGCCACGGCCGTATAAATTCGATTCAAACATTGACACATTCGGCTGGCTGCGCGACGAAAAGGGGATGAACCACTTCACCTTCTTCATCGAGAACGGCCGCGTGGAGGACACGGCCGATTTCCCCATGCGCACGGGCCTGAGAGAAATCGCAAAGATCCACCAGGGCGAATTCCGCCTGACGGGCAACCAACACCTGATCCTGTCCAACGTGGCCGACGAGGCCAAACCGGCCATCGTCGAGTTGATGAAGAAGTACAAGCTGGACAACACGCGGTTCACGGGCATGCGGCTGTCCAGCTCCGCGTGCGTGGCCTTCCCGACATGCGGGCTCGCCATGGCCGAGTCAGAGCGCTACCTGCCGACACTGATCAGCAAGCTGGAGGGGTGCCTGGAGGAGAATGGCCTCTCGCAAGACTCGATCGTGATGCGCATGACGGGCTGCCCGAACGGCTGCGCGCGGCCCTGGGTCGCCGAGGCCGCCTTCGTCGGCAAGGCCTACGGCGCCTACAACATGTACCTTGGCGGCGGGTACCACGGCCAGCGGCTCAACAAGCTGTACCGCAGCAGCATCAAGGAGGACGAGATCCTGGAGATCATGCAGGGCCTGCTGGGCCGGTACGCCAAGGAGCGCAACGCCGGCGAGAGGTTCGGTGACTGGACGATCCGCGCCGGCGTCATCCACGAGACCACCGAGGGTAAGAACTTCCACGAGAACACGGCCGAGGAGGAGAGCGATGCCGAGTAAGGTAGTATCCTCCGGCTCAAAAAGGAAATAGATGTTTTCCTTGTTTTCCTTGTTCGATAACACTTATTTGCATCTGTCAAGCAATCCCGCCGGGCCCAAAAATCGCAACTGCTTTTTTTCCAAAATTGGCACCTTTTTGATAGTAGCTTTGCCGCATACATAGCATGGAAGACTGGGGGGTTGGACTGAATGAACAACTAAATATATTTGTAGATAGCGTCTATTTCTTTCTCTTGGTTCGGTTTTCAAAATGTATGTGTATCTCTTTCTGACATGTCTCGAGACTTCCCCAGGGCCAGCCCATATATACAGACCTTGCAGCATGATGGCCCCCCCACCACTCCTAATATCTTTACCTGTGTATATATTTATATATATCTGTATGTCTTGCGTGCGAGAGATATATATGGCATCCAGAAAATATATCAAGCCTTCTCAAGCCTTCTCAAAACACATGACCCCGTACCGGAAGGTCCCGTTGCTGTACCCGCGTCGCATGGCGCGGAAAGCCTGCAGAAACGCGAGCCCGTCCCGGCCCTGGGAGATGGCAAATGCCCATAGGCTGGGGTTGCTGACCAGCTCCCAGCTGATGTCCCAGGTGCGCGCCACTTGCTGGGATATGTCCTTTGGCGCGTGGAACACGCAGAGGCCCGCTGATTCGGCCATGGCGATGTATTCAGCCATGGTGTTGAGCGGAGGGAGGAGCATGCCGTCCTCGATCGGCTTGATGTCGTTCTCCGTCTGCTCGGGGGTCAGGGGCGCGGATTTGAACCAGTCTGCGAGCACGAGTTTGCCGTTGGGCCGCAGGACGCGCGAGGCGTTGCGGAAGAACAAGGCCTTGTCTGGAAAGTGGGAGAGGGCTTCAGAGATCCAGACACAGTCGAACGACTGTGGAGGGAACCGGCTTTCCATTTTCTCGGCGTCGAGTTCGAAGTAGTAGACTTTGCCATTCTTAGCGCCGAGAGGTATAAAGTTGTCTGAGCCTTCGGGGCCTTTAGCTGCCGCTGTTGTCGAGTTCGAGATGCTATTGCCGGGTTCTCTGGAAGCTTCATCGTTTGTTAGGCGCTTAGCAATTTGGACTTGTCGTCCGCTGATGGTGATGCCTGTCACGGTGCAGCCATGCTCGCGCGCTAAATGACGGGTGGTCCCCCCGATACCACAGCCTACATCGAGGACAGTGGAATTGGGTGCGAGCTTGGAGATCTCCAAGAGAAGGTTGATAAGGTTGGTTTGACCAGTCTCCTTGGTGTCGTCGGGAGTGAGGAAATAGGCGTGGTGGATATGTTGGCCCCTGGGTTGCAGTCAGATGTACGAGCTCGACGCGAAATGACCATGAGAGTAGGTGCATATATTTGGGGTCGACCCTCATGTTTGAAAGGCAACGGTACGTACCACAGTGAGTAGTAATAGTCAGAAGCGATTTCATAGTGGTGCCGTATCCGCTGCTTCAAGCTGTCGAGCGATGAGTGCGCCTCGTACGTGGGCACTTCATACTTGTCTCCCACATGCTTCTGCTCGGCGGGGAGGTTTGTGTCGACCTTTTCCGTTGGGTCGCCCATTGAGTCTTGTTGGCGATATCGCGGGTGTCAGGGGGAGTGCGAGTTGGGGTTTTGATTTTGCGACGTGAATGTGTGAGAGTGTAGGTGGAGTGTAATTGACCATGACATTTCAAAGCTGGTGACCCATGTCGCGGAGAGATTATGTAGAAATGGATGCCGTCAGACAGAATAATTACGCCTTGAGTCCTTGACTGAAACCTCACTTGCAGCTGACTTGCAGTTCACTTGCAGGTGTCCTTTCGCCATGCGGCCAGCTATGAGATGCTCTGCACGGCAATGTACCTCGTACTTACGAGATTCTTCTTCCCCTCCTGATTCTCGGCTGCTGATCCGGTTCGTCCCCCACGTCACTCCCTGCCCTCGGCTTCCCTTCCCTTCGACCTTATATTCGGTCTAAGCTCTTTCCAGTGCAATGCCAGAATTTTGTTGGGGTTTCCAAGAGCCACTCCGTACTTTTGGTATCCTTGCATGTGCTTCTCCCTCGTTGACAAATGCAGGTGAGATAATAGTGGTCTGATCCGGACACAACGAGGCGGTGAGGGTGACAGTAATAGCTCTTACCTGCATCAGACAAATCCATATTAATCGAAAGCATAGCTACGGAATCATTCACCGATCAACTGCATCATCGACTTGCGAATTAATTCTCCATTGGCTTTTGTTTTCTTCTTGTGCTGTCGATGACCAGGCGAGCCTAGAGGGTCACAGATTGCCTTCCGTCCGTCCTATCTTGTTCTCACATCAAGATCATACCAAATAACAGACATGGAAGACTTCACTGCACCTTCAGCAGACTCGGACCCATTGTCAGAGTTTCCCGCCTTGAAGCAAACACGCGATAAACCCCTTGATCACGGCAGCCTCATCAACGGCACGTCAACGTCTTCTCCCAGACCCCAGTCAGAACTCACCGCCCTCCAACAACACGTCTTGTTCTGGGACCGCGACAACGATGGCATCATCCACCCCTGGGACGTCTACAACGGCTTCCGCGATCTGGGCTTCAGCGTCCTCTTCTCTCTCGGCTCGCTGCTCATCCCCTTATTTTTCTCGTACCCGACGACCTTGGCGCACAGCTGGCTTCCTGACCCTTGGTTCCGCATCTACGTCAAGAGCATCCACAAGGCCAAGCACGGCTCCGACACGGGCATCTTCGATGTCGACGGCCACTTTCACGCCGACAGATTCGACGCCATGTTCGACCGCTGGGATACCTCGCGATGCGGCGGGCTGAGTGCCGAAGAGATGTGGGCAATGTGGAAGAAGAATCGCCTTGCGGCCGATGTTGCCGGTTGGTGTTTCGGGTTCATGGAAATGTGGACGACCTGGCTGTTGCTCCAGAGAGATGGGAGGGTGTGGAAGGAGGATCTTCGAGGTTGTTACGACGGAACCTTGTTTTGGAGGATCAGTGAATTGGCCCAGAAGAGGGAATGGAAGCAAGGCTATGGCATTGGAGATTTCTTCGAGGGAATGGTAGATGCAGGGACGTGGAAGAATTGGCAAGTCAAAAAGCAGCAGCACCCACAAAATAGGCGCCGGTTGGTATCAACTTGATGTCGATGTTGATGCGGGACCAATGATAAAAGGCATTGAAAATTGGAGAGGTATATTGTCTTATATGCAGGTGCGTGTGCAGGCTAAGGAACGACAAATGGAAAACCTTTGCCCCCAGCTGAGGTTCAACAACAATGCTCACCTCATTCATTTCATGCAGCACAACAAGGAGCCACGCCAACGCGGTCCGTGAAGCATTGAGCTGATCAATTGCCCGATATGGCGCCAATTCGATGATTAAAGGGCCCTGTCCCCAACACACAGGACCAGTGGTCAAGTTGGCGCTCGGATTCACCCATCTCGCCCGAGTCTCCTCGATTTTGAACCCGAAGCCTGAACAAGATTGATGTACGAATGCCAAACGTGGCAGTGCATGGAAATCTTGGAACCTGCAACCTGGTCTGCCAGCTGCTGTGGGTAATCGGTAGTGGCACCAGAGCGTAGTCGAAGTCGCTAGCATTAGCCACCGACAGCTGGTTGAACAAGTTGGCATACGATTCAAACACCTGGCCAGACTGGAAGATTGCCGTCGCGCTCGCATTGATCCCGGCTCCAACAGTGTTGATGTGTGTGACCCAATTACCCCCGCTGGATGCCATGATCACGTCGGTAGCGAACAGCTTCTTGGGCAGGAATTTCTTTGCCATCGCAAAGCACATTAGCAGCAGGAAATGGGTCTCTCTAGCCTCGGCACGATTCGTAACTTGGGCACTGCGGAGTGGAGTATGTATTCGAGGCTCTCAACGGGTCCGAAGATGTTTAGTATCATTACTAATTCCAGGAATACCCATATCCACTTGTTAAAGTAGCGTTAAATTCACTTAAACCTTGATGAATTCCCAAACGATCTCCTCGCCGGCCGGATCCTCATTGTCGATCTTGGCCAGCACCCCGCCAGCCGTGGTGCTACTAGTGGTGCCGCCTCCGCCGCCTCCTCCTCCCTCTTCTTGCTCCACGCCCCTTCGAATGCCGACGCGCCAGAGCCTCTCATAGTGCGTTGTGAGCAAGAGATATCCGCCCTGGGGCCGGGGCCTGACGCAGAAGTTCTCCCAGCTCTGGTGCCGCGCGGCGACGCAGACGAGGCGGCCGTGGCAGTTTCGGCCGTGGCGGTCACGCTTGTTCTTCTTGCCTTCGTAGCCCAGGAACTTGCCCGAAGCGACGTTGCGGAAGCCCAGCCACCCTTTCCTCTCCGAGCACGCCCAGTGCACGCTGCCCCCATGGTTGCCGTTCCGCGCCGCGCCGGCCGGCCATGGGGCCAACGTGATCTCCCCCCCTTGGAGCGTTAGCACATCCCCCGACGATACGTTGCAGATTATGTATGTTAAGCCTGGCCAGGGGCAGCGTAAAGGCAGGGATGAGGAGGAGCTGGGTCTGGCGCTGTTGTCGTGGCCGTTGCCCTTACTGTTGCCATCATGGTCTTTTCCGTCGTCATCATCATCTGAGGAGTCAGCGGCGACCGTCTCCGGCGGCGTTTGTGTTTGTGCTTTGTTCATGACTGTCGAGGCCGTGTAGGCAGTGGAACAAGTAGAACAACGGTCAAGACCCCCTCCTCGTAGGTCCAGGCCGCGGTCCGTGTCCGAGATAGGTAGTGCGGCGGCGGCGCCAGAAGCATGAGTAGAATCGAATGTGCTACGGACGACCATACTTTGCACCCCTCCTCCGTAGATGGATTGCTCTATAGCGCTGAGTATGTATCGTCGTTCTGATTGCCTGGGTAGGTCGATACTGATGTCGGTGAGTGAAAAGGATCAGGCTGGGTGTACGGAGTAATAATAGGCTTCTAGATTGCAATAGTGCGAGTTTAGGCGACCCATCTAGGCAACCACTCGGGCTAGTGAGCGCACTGGCGCCTACTAAGAACTCTAACGCCCTCACGGTTTAGTGGTATGTAGTTTCGCGACGAGGAACATGATCAAAGACTTAACCCTGAACGATTACCCAATATATCCAGCGTTAGGGCGTCTCCCTTCGTGTCATCGTCACCTAACATGTGCAGAGACATTCAGGACACTCTACAAGGTACAGCGCCTTAAATTTAACGCACTTCCCCGACTTCCTGATCAACAAAATGCAGAGTCTTTAGAGGCGTCATCCCACGGCAGGGCACGCAGAACGACCCAACCCCCGATAGAGACACTTAACTGATAGGTAGAACCTTGACCGGTGAAAATTGATGTAGTTGGTAGGTTGTAGGATCCCTGCTCCCGGCTCGAGCGGCATTTTCTGAACGTCAGTATCAACATGGCCATGCAAATGGGGGTTCAATTGTAGTTAGGCGTTGGCGCCAACAGGTTGCAGCACCCGATATTGGGACTGGTAGGCTAGCCAATCTCCAGTAAACTTCTACCTTTCACTGGCAGCAAAAGTAAAAAGTCATGTGTGCCCAAAAATTAGAAATATTCGGTCATTTCAGCCAGCCGCAGGACTGCAGCCGCATCCATTTTCTCAGTATCGCTACAAGACCTCAGACTGCATCGCAAAAGAAAAGCTAAGTATTCGACACTATGGGCAAACGCGATCGGCTCAAATCGTTTTTGAATCTTGATAAAATAGACTCACGCAACAATCAGAGCGCCGGTGGTCAAACCTTAGTTCCTGTGAATCCAACCTGGACTGCGCCTCAACCAACAACGACAAACTCGTCCCGACTGTCGTCTTGGGCTGAAGCTGCTCTACGTCTTCAAAATAAAAACCCTGAAATGCATGAGGTGCTCATGAAGATTAGAGGCATTAACGAAGACGATCCGGTTAAATTGACAGAATTGGTGAATGCCAGGAGGCAAGAATCTAAAAGAATTTCTTTCCCTGTTGAAGGAGCTATCAGACAGATTCTCGAATTTGAAGATATTGGAACCGCCGCTACAGATTTTGATCCATACAGGATTTCACCAGTTGTCTGGAGAGGATTCTGTCTTGTTTTGCAGGTGAGTTTCTCCTCAGGAATGACTGAAGACAATAACTAATCTTAAGCAGTATATTGTCCATGACTCGGCCCTGCTGACAGAAAACTGGAAACACTTAGAAGAACTTACATCAAAGATTCGATACTGGGCAAATTTCGAGTGTCTTTTCTTAAGGAGGAGCGCGACTACATTCAACGACTTCAAACCTCTGAAGGAGAAATAAATCGACCTCTATACAGAGGTTTTTGAGTTTGAAGTTTGCATCTGGAAGTGGTGTAACAAGGGCCGCTTTGGTATGTTCTTTTCCTGCTACATGTTATCGCTGACATGATCAGTTAAATTCCTGAAAGAATTGAGAGACGGAATCACTTGGACAGATCTCATTAATAAGATAAACAGCTATCATTCCATGTGTCAATACGAGCTCAAGACTTGCAATGAAAAGATTGAGAAATACAAGGAAGTCAGAGATTGGATATCGGACCAAGAACCAGAAGCTATTCACTACAATATACGTTTCAACAGCCATCTCGACAGATATCCAAATTGTGGCAAATGGGTTTGGGACACGGATAAGTTTAACAATTGGTCAAATGGAGCCGCAGAATTCCTATGGATCAAGGGCCCCGGTAAATATTACAATATCTCAACTATGATTGTATTTGTTGACGTTGGCAGCTGGAACTGGGAAAACAACCTTGATGTGAGACATAACATCAACATCATCAAAACATAAGTTAACGAGATAGGGCCCAAATTGTTCAGTGGCATCTGGACACATCGCCTATGTAGCATAATCGTCGCCTTGCATACTACTACTGCTCAAAAGACGAAACTTCAAGGAACCAGTACCAGAATGTCCTGAGAGCATTGCTTGTACAAGCAGCTTATGATCCGGTTAGTGGTACCATCTCTCAGAGTGTAGTGTATGCTTTCAACGAGAACAAGAAGTTTCTATCTTTTAGAAAGTGCAAGGAACTGATTGCCGGAGTCTTGAAGGATGTCAAGCTCAGGATCATGATAGACGCTCTGGATGAATGCGACGATCCAAAAGAGCTGTTGAAGGTATTGCGGAATCTCGCCGAGATCGCCCCAGGAAGGCTTGAACTTCTAGTTTCCAGTCGACACAGCATTCACGTCCGTGAAAGGCTTGACCGAGTTGTTGAAGTCGACGTTCAGCAATTGATGCCCAAAGCCGAAATGCTTACATATATCGAAACCGAAATCAAAGAGAGGAAGACAGATGAAAGACTTTTGAAAGGAAAGCGCCCAGATCTCGAGGATAGACTGATTGTTATTCTCAATGAAAGAGCAAATGGAATGTACGTATCGTGGCTGTCGGGGATGAAAAGACTGACCAGTGCAGGTTCCGCTGGGTTGAGTTACAACTCTCCTTTTTCTTGAAGCCGAAAGCTTCTGTTCTACGTCCAGAAACTGTTGAAGATTATCTCAACAAGCTCAACAAGAAAACACTTACTGGTGAGGAAGAGCTGTACGCGATCTATGACGCCATCTTTAACCTCAACTCGCTCAACAATTCCCTGGAGCGCAAGCACGCCATGAAAATCCATCAGATTCTGATCCGTTCCCTGGTCCCTGTTACTATGGATATGCTGGTTCAAGCAGTTACCTTTGATGAAGTTAACTGCAGAGATATCGACGATGTTCAACCCGATTATATCCTTCAGCTCACCCAGGATTTCATGATCGAAACACTACGAAAGACGCTAGAGCTTGCCCATGTCTCAGCCATGGAATACCTGCAACAATGCAGAGACCTCGACAACAGCGTATATGATGCACATATGGCGAATCTATGTCTGCGATACCTGCCAACCCGAGACATAGCACTCTATCAGGCGAGCCTGATACACGAGGAAGTTTTCGATTATCAAATGCGCATAGATTTTGAAAGGTGAAGAACACTCGAGAACAAACTCATTTGGTATTCTCACATGTTCTGAGGAGAGCATTGCGCTGCATTGAGCGAAGAAGAGCGCGAAAAATTCGAGGTTTCATCTCTCCTACGTGACTGGCTAATCAAATGATCTAGTTCAGTCAAATTTTGTCATTGGAAGAATCACCTCAAGATGGTAACAGTATCATCCGCATATCGCCACGTCTAAAGTCGAAACCCAAGTCGTCGACGCAAGAATTTGGAATCTTGTCGAAATAGCAAGTGAAATTTTGCCGACCCAAGATCAGAGAGACATTGAACTCCAAACCAGCGAGGGACAATCACTGCTTCACTTGGCCGCTCAATATAACCGCGTTGAGATTATTGAGCTTCTGAGAAGCAAACGCGCGGATCTTGAAGTTGAGTGGATGGATGAAACGACACTTGAGGTCGGCGTGGATTCTCATTCCCCTGACGCTGCTAGGCAGCTACTGAACGGGGGCGCCGATCCTAATCACCACACTCCGCTGGCAATCGCGACAGTTCAACGTCAAAAAGATCTAGGCCCATTGCTACTCTCGCATGGTGCCGATCCGAACTGTATCGATGATTCGGGTTTTACACCGTTGGCCTTAGCCCAGCTTATTTCCGACTGGGGGATTGAGAGTCTACTGCTAGCGAACGGTGCTAGACCGGAGAAAGCTGCCTTCGCATATGTCGAGATTTGATCTCCTGACTTCCGAAGATTCTTGGACCTAACTATAACTAGTTATATATCATGAATCTATCATGACGAACAATAGAAAATGTCTAGCAAAATCTCTAACTATCGTAACGCTAGTAGCCTGATCAAGGAACACAGTCAGGATCAAGGCTTCTTTCTACAAGGCTGAATTTGCCACAGGAATAGGTCATTTTATCTCTGAACAACGATTTTTCCCAATTGGGACCCATTTGATCACACTCGTTGATACCCATGGCGAGCGTGACCCGATCGAAGTGTCGCGGTCCACGCGTTACAGAGAATTCGCGACCATGAGATACAGTTTATGCCATGAATTCAAGTACAAGAGAGTCTAACTGTGACTCAATGGAGGGCATGATAGATTACAACAGAGCCAGAGGGCCTATCTGACTATATACGGGGTACTTATGGAGTAATTTACACTGTGGATATCGACACTAGTCCGAGGACTTCGGCCGAGTCTTTACATCTCTTGGCCGTCCTGCAGTCGCATTACTTACACAACGGTATTCTGTGATATTTCAGTCACATGACTTGGCATGTCATATTGCATCCGTAACATGAAGCATATTTATTTCTTTTCTATTTCCATTGCATAAGTGGAATATGGATAGATTCCCTAACGGATAAGGATGTTGTTGATGCTTCGTAAGCATTAAAGGAAGAAAATCCAACACTAATTGTGATGGGTTGAACCCCAGAAGAAGGTTCGGCTCTGTTTCGACCGTAACACGCGAGCAAGGCTGAGCAAGGCTAATCACACTCTCACCACACCACTTGGGACACCATTTGCGACGAACACGAGCAAAAAACATCGCTTCCAGATGGAACAAGAAGGCCCCGGTTTCAGCGTCGACAGCGAGGCTGTCACACAGTGTTCTTATACCCCGGCGATGCCAGGACCAAGTCCTGTTCTCTTTCCTCTCCTTCAGTTTAGTCTCTTAGTGTTGTGCTATCTACAAAGAAGGGCCTTTCCAGCGTTTTGTACGAGCCGTAACAATCTGTCACGAGCCCACCGTTGTCCCCAAGTACTCTACGCCCTCCACCCGAATCGGGTGGACGGTATAGAAAGAAAAGGAAAGGATAAGGCAAAGGACGGTTGAGGCACAAGGCTATCGGTTAACGCTGCCTTACCCTTTTCACGTGACAGAAAGAGGGGAAGCTATAAGAGTCTCCTCTCACCTGAATCGGCTGAGAGAGAACTCTTCCTTTTTCTCAAGCGTTGAGTCGTTGTCAATAGGGCTACGTGAATAGAACAAGGCATTCAGCTACTCCAATTCCTTTGTACCTACTGCGTTGCGTAGGTCCCTGATACAATCACCGACCGTCCAGGAAGCGGCAAAGCGGGGAGAGCGGCTCGTCACGAGGGCGAGATGGATGACGGGTTACCCCTATGATACTGTCTAGTTACCCATGAACTAGTAGTTAGTTGGCCGTTTGGCCTCTGAGAGAGAAAGCTCTTTATCTCGACCATGGCACTACCTGCTTTCGGACAGGACAGTCAATGGCAGGGGATTCGTTTCGGGTGCTCTGACAAGTGGCTTGCAACCCTTACTGCTACCTAGGACCCGCAGCATTCAAGTGATGAGTGGAAAGCCAGATTGAGAAATATGTGGCACACTCAAAGTCCTTCGCTGTTGGAACGGAGGTGTCCGTCGTTGGTAATGAGCATTCCGTCTACCCCGGGAATAGTGGCCTTCTGACATTCATCCTAGACCGTTAATTATGTTCGATATAGCGGTCGCTGTGACGCCATTAAGCACTCGTGAGATATTTATTCCGTGACAGACAGTGCCACTTGTTTTTGAGTCGGGGTTAGTGGACAACACACAAGACATTGAGTCTGGATTTAATTTCCTTAAAGTGGAAATTCTTCCAATAATGACGGCTGTACAATTCTGAGTTGCTGTAGAGCCTCATCGGCCTTCTTGGCAGAGACTTTTGAATACGCCCAGCGTTCTAACAGCACCGCCCATGCAGAGCCTTCTAAATAGACCACGCCACCCGAATAAACAGATAGGGCCACAGACTGGATCCATAGAATAGGCCACCCATATTTTCTCCCATTTCAGGGGTAAAAAGCGGTTCTTCTCGAAAACCATACATATCTCCGTATAGGAAATAAAAATCTTTCCAATTCTTGTGGGAGCACAGAACCTATGTAGATTAATTCCCCCAGAATGAACAGGTTCCAACTCTTCTATGCATTTGTGTTTGTGCGGGAGCCACCGAAGCCGTTGACAAGGGTGTAGGACATAGCAGGCAAGTTGTTGCCCGCGTTGAGGAAAGCGACCACCTGATCGCCATTGCTCAGGCTTCATTGTCACACTTGGATTTCTGTAGACCTCCAAGCGTCCTTCTCGTCGACCTGCTCCCTGATTGTCCTGGAAGCAGCACTGATGCTGGGGTCCTACGATATGCCAACACCGGCGGGTTGATCAGGATGGCATAATTCTCCGGTGAGAGCTGTATTGAAACTGGCAGCTTGGACTTCCTCCTTGCGATGCCGCATCGCAGGACGAACCCTCAAGGTCGCGATATCGAGGTCGATTGGTGAATCGAGCTTAATTGAACGGAAGTAACAGCGGCATGGTACCGAGCTACGAATGCCTGACGCTGCTGATCATGTTGATGCTGGGCCGCGTTTTCTTCTCCCTGCGCAGTGATCTGCTGATCATGAGGGAGTCTCACGATCTTTTCAGTTGCTCTTCTGCGGCGCTCGAGCTCTTTGTCAGACTGGTAGCGGAGATACTGTCTATAGCGAGTTTCAGATTCGGCAACTGCATTAGAGAACAGGTTAGCGCTTTCCCATTCGCACATAAGTGTAGACCCACGAGTCAAACATGTCCTTTGTTCCCTTTGTGATTGCCTTCGGTACATCCTTTTCAACCACTGAAACACTGACAACGCAGGTTGGTGGCCTGGTGACGGATCAGGTGGATCGTCTGGATGGTAGTTAGATGAGCGTGTTTTAAAGTTCCCCCCATGCCTTACCTGGAGGAGGCGGGAAGAACTTGAATTCAAAGTCATCAAACGAAGCCTCGAGAAAACTCCCATCGCCGTTCTTTTGAACCCAGCGAATATAGTTAAAGTCGCAAAATTGATCGAGATCCGGCAGTTCGAAAAGGTCGTTCTTGTGTCTGTTAAAAACATCAAACTTGTCCAATGTGCTGCCCCCAAGCAATACGTCGGATGTGAGCCCCTCCAAGACGTAAAACTCGTGCATTTTTTGCATGCCTGTCTGAGATCCGATGGAGAACTTTGCAAGCACCTTTCCAGAAAGATGCTTTGTGGAGCCGTCTCCAAACCGCACTAACTGGGATCCGCGGTCCAGCTTTCGAATGAGGAAGCCGGATTGCTTAGCATATGTCAGGGACATCAAGTCAAGGTCCGAACCGGTGTCGGGAACTGTCTGCACCAGTTGATCTCCAATGCGGCAATTCAGTCTCTGTCGACGCAACTCCATATGCAAAGCCCGGAGGCTCAATTATTGTAATGATGTGGTCTTTCGAAGGCGGTAGCGGAATTCGGTCAAGCACTCTGTGACTTCGAGAAACTTTCTTCCCACGATCAAGGGGACGATCAGACCGGGGAGCACCCAGAATCGGTTCTCGGATATCTCTTCAGCCTCGTGCGTGAACTTGCAGGAAACGGTCACGTAGCCAAGCACCTTCATTGATTGGCCGACAGCGTTGATAAACTGGGGAGGGAAACTGCCCGGTGCATTGGCTTGTTTCCGAATCTGCAACTTGAGCCTGGCCGCGAGCCTGGCCGAGATAAAGTTTTCCTGAGCCCCCGTGTCCGCAACAGCAGACTCATTGTAGCCGTTCAATGACAGGTCGACACAGGATCTGATGGGTGGAGATGGTTTGACACTGCCACAGGGATCCTTGGGCTCGTTGATCTGTTTTCCTCGTTGCGATATTGACCTCGTCTGGCGAGTGTTAAGTGGAGAAGAGAGGCATTGAAATGACCGCGGCGGACTGGGAGGGGATCGGGGCGAATCGTCTATTAATGCGGGCCGGGCAGGCGACGTCATGGCCCGGCATTCGTAGCTGATGTCCCGGGTGACAACTTGGTCCGCGTTAAGGTACGGACATAATACGGAGGGGGTCCTGAGGCACCATAGGAGATCTCAAGTCAAAATTGCTTAGGGCACTTTGGGTCTCTGGGGAAAGGCGACGCACCCCGGATGCGGCATTAGATGAGGAAGAAAAGAATTTTGTTTGTGCGATGTTCGATCAAGAGTTTGAACCTCCTAAATATCCTACTGTCTCTTCCTGCATCATCTCTAACCTTGGGGAAAGATATAATTTTAAATATAGAAAAAATGTCCTGCCTACGACTTTGTTGCTCGCACAAGTCTCGTGAAGCCAGGAAACACAGTGGGGATTTGGAGCTGGGATGATTCGGGCGACGCTAATGCAAGAAGCTGGAGCAAAGCAGGGCAACAACGACGAGAGAACCTCTGAAAAAGAGCAAGGGTGCGGACATGACCCAAGAACCTGCGACCGTTGAGGCTCGACAACCCTCGCGTGGCCTTGCAACACTAGTGAATTGGATTCTGGCGACAGGGTGATTTTTCAGCAGTAGAGAAGGGGGTACTAATGGCAGGTGGCACTAGTGCAACTCAATGGGGAACGGGGGACGAGAGAGTCGTGACGCTGATGCAGGGACAATTGGTGCGAACCATGCGAACCAGGGGCCCAAGAGAAGAGGCAAGAGAAATGCGACTGTCTCAGAGACTGCGGGGCAAAGGCATCGCCTGAGTTGATCCGCAGAATGCCAGCAAGCACCGAAGACTTCCGTCGGCGAGCCGTGCAGGAGGTCATGCGGTTGGGGTTTGCGAGTACGAGGTAAGTCTGGTTTTCTTATGCATCTGTGGCGGAGTCTGCGCTTTCCTGCAGCAATGGCCAGGTTGACCAGCAGGGCTGTCCATGCCCTTTTCTGCTGTTTCCCTTCCTTTCTCAGATCCTCAATCTTCAACTCGGTCTTGTATTACCGACCTTAAATCAGGATACCATTCTTCCCCCACCATAACTCCCCAAACCATTGCTTGGGATCGGGAGTAAGAGAATATCACAAGACTCCCCGATCTACAGGAGTTCTACTCCACTCAGGAGCTTGCATTCACCGAGAAGTACCTTTCTTTCTGTGGACGTGAAAAGAACATGCGCCCAGACATTGAGAAAAACATTATAACAGTGCATTATATCAGCGGATATGCGGATCTCGCAAACCTAATATCCAGTGACGCCGATGGTGACACGGCTATCTTTTAAAGTTTCAGTGCTTTGGCATCGCGGGATCTGCTATATATGCAAAGCGAAGTAGCCGAGCTGGAAGCCAAGCTGCAAGACATAGATCAACAAGATGAACGAGACTTCCAGGAGCGCGAATCATGGCCCATGGTCTCCCTGGCATCGAGGAACTGGGGTGTGCTCGTGCAAGAGGCAAATACGCCGCATTCACCTATGCAAGCTCGATTGAGGGAGCGGATGGATCTGATCATTACCATCAGGCAGAAGCTAAAGCAATACCGTTCGTATAGGCCATAATCATCGGAATACCACTGACAATTCTCCTAGGAGAAGCTCTTCTTTTAGAATCTGCCATTCTTGGTCTGAGGAAACCGTCAAAGCAGGCACACAATGCCTTTCTCCGTAGGTTTTGGAACGAAGGAGATGGACAATGCCGCATCTCAACCCTTGACGGACACAGCAAGTTCCTCTATGAAGATCACAAGGAGTTAGTAGCTTTGAAGAGGGTGGACAACGAGGATCGCCTTACCCAACTGCTGAAGAAGCACCGCCCAAGGGTCTTCAAGGTAGTTATCATAGTCCATTACGATCAAGTCGTGGCGCTGGCTGACTTGACAGGTTGCTCGAGTCAAGACGCAGAGCACGGGCATCGAGTACTTTTCGGCACAAAGGATGTCGTTAGTGGTAAACCTCATCACCATTGTCCTCGCTGCTGGATTGCTGTTCGGCGCCATTTACAACTTGTACTATATCCGGCGAGAACAGGTCAAGCTGGGCTTGATAGCTGGATAGACTTTGGCGTTTGCTTTGAGCATAAGCCTGATTTCGAATGCTCGGAGGGCTGAGATCTTCGGAGCCTGTGCAGCGTACGCAGCGGTGCTGGTCGTGTTCGTAAGCGGTGACTTAGGAAACAATCGGGTACCCAGATAGTGAAAGAACAGGTGTGCGAGACCAGAAGTGCTTCGGGCCGGGTAAGACACCGAGAGCAGAGCTGGAGAGGGTATACAAAACTTAAGGGGAACAAGAGGTTTTCAGACAAGGGGCACTCAACAAAAGTAAGCGGCTGCCGAGTATCTTATTTTGCAATCCGAAGTTCACGCTATGCCTCGCGGCTTCCCCGTGATAACCTGGCCCTCGCATCAATCTCCCCCGTACATCTTCACACGGTCTTCGAGCGGTAGGTACGTCCTCTCTCTGCTCCTCTTCAGGCCATCTAGCGGCGCACCAAACACAAGCTGTGAATGCAGAGCCCACGTCTCTGGTATGTTCCACTCATTGCGCACCTTCTCCCTGAACTCAGACATGAAGTTGTAATGCTGAAGATTGCAACCCAGACCTTCTAGCTCCAAAGCCGCCCAGACGATGAGCTGGGCCATGCCGCTGGAATGGCTAGACCCTGCTTCGTTGTTGTGGTCAGCCATCTCGTCATCAAGGACAAACTCGGAGAAAAAGAGGCCAGTGCTTACATTGCGGAATGACATGTTGGAGGACCGGATTCTTCTGCTTCAAAGCGTCGAGCGCGGATTGATCCTCAAACCACAAGACGGTGCCGTAAGCGGCGCGGAAACCCTGCACCTTTGACGCCAGGCCCGCATACGCCTGCTCCGGCATGGCGTTTTTCAAGGCCGCATCGCCAAAGTCCCATAACGTCTCGTGATCCTGCTTCACTAGAACAACTGCACGAGTGGACTGGATGTTAAATGCTGATGGGGAGTGCTTGACTGCAGAAGCGACGATGTCGCGGATCCGCGTGTCAGAGATTGGAGAGCTGTTGGTGAGAGTGTAGCACGAGCAGCGATTTTCGGCTGCGGCGAGAAAGAAGTTGGTTGAGGCGGTGGCGACGGTAGAAGTCATGGTGCTGGTGCTGGTGTTGGTAGCGGTGTTGTTTGTTATTGTGAATGTTGGGCTCTAGTTGCCTCGAGTTCGAGATGCAGAGCCATCATGGAGGTTTATATATTTTTGTAAGTCGAGTTCGATCCCAGTTAAGATGCGCAGGGGTTTTGGTACCATGGTAGACGATGAAACACGTCGTTACTGAGGCCCTGACCCCGTCCGTCGAGTACAACCGTCGTCGTGCCCGAGCGACCTCTCTGTCGGGGCCGAACAGAAAGCCAGTCGCTGATGTGTCGCTGACCGGCTCGGTGAAGCTCTTATTGCCTTGACCCGGCCCCTTATGTAAAACAGCACTAGCGATCTCGTCATTTCAAAGCTAGCGGCGAGCCTTGTGCCCGCAAGTTGTAACAGCCGACAGCCGGTAACTTGGAGCCTTCGGGCCTTAACTCCACAGACTCTAGGCGAGGAGAGCGGCCGGAGATACAGATGCGAGCCGACCGGTCTAGCCAGGTACACAGGTAAAGCGAAGGCAGTCTTAACCTACGGGAGCCTCGGGTGAGCATAGTACAGTGTACTCTAGAGGGGTTTTCCCCAGGTGATCAATCTCCTGTGAATCGTGCCCTGGTAAACCTCGCCGAGTACTCCCCACAGCATGGATGGAGACTATCTAACCAAGGACGATGAGTTTCCATACGCGATCTTTCAACGCAGCCCAGTCCAGAATCGCAACCCATGCAAAGCCCTCGCGCGACGCGATCCCGTCCTTCCATGAAATCACCATGATCCCAATGGCTCCGTTGTTGATGTGCCCGCCGTCCCAGTCACCTCTGTTTTGTGCGATGGCAATGACCTCGACGGTTTTCCTCCTCTCGCCTGGCCCAAGCATGGGTAGGTGGAACCAGGCCGCTTTCATTGACTTCGTTCCTTGAGATATTGTCAAGCCCCACCCCGCCGAACTTTCCCTATCTCTAGAGCCAAGAGAAGCACTGCTGCGGCCTTCAAAGGCGATGGTGACGTGGGTCGACGCGGTCCAGAAGCAGAGGACTGATGACAGATTCGCTTTGGTATTATTCGAGAGACTAGGCAGAGAATCAACCGGCACATTTGTGGCTCTAGACGAACGGTCTGGGATGCTAGAGCCCTGGACGAGCATGTCGACCTTGTCATTGAACCTCCCCACCTGCTTGAGGTGCTTCATGGTCTTTCCGTCGTCAGACAGTCGGTAGAATTCAACCCCTAATGGCTCCATGGTCAGGTTTTGATTGTCGATTTTCGTAGATCCGTCACTCTTCCAGCCAACCCACGACCAACTCGGGAAGAATACTGGGCTTTTGGGATGGTCATTCGACGTAGAATCCCCGCGATGATGTGGCCTGGGTGTGAGGGTTCGATTGCCCCAAGACAGAGCAGACTCGAGAAAAGCGCACGGCAAACCCCAAAAGAATTCCAGGCCCATGGACCTCTCAAAAGCACGGATGATGCCCGAAAAGGCATTCAGGGCATCACTGTCGTACTTCAGGGCCCGTGTTGAATATTCGCCTAGGAGGACGCGATAATAGTGATCGAACGAGATATAGTCCGAGTTCCACGAGAGGTTGAGTTCCCCTCGACAAAGACTCGTCCTGTGAGGATCCGGCAAGATTTGGGGGAATTCCCGAAAGCTGTCTTCGCACCAGAATGCCTCTTCACACTCCCAAAACACCTGTTCCGCCGTAAACACGAGCGACCTGGCGGCCAAAAACCTCTCTTGTAGTGTCCAGGCCCGAGTATCCCAGACTGTTGTACCAAGATAAGCGGCCGCTCGCCCCGTCCGTAGATCGACTTTCGTTCCAGTCACTGGATCGAGCGACTGTAGGAGGCTCAAGTTTCGGACACTGAAAACCTCCTGTTTCTGTTGTCTTGAATGCGGACGTACCCCAGGAAGGGGGGAATTTGCATCGATGCACGTCGCTGCGATGATGACCACGGTCGCCAAGGCGTAGATAGAGTCCATTTGCGACACAAACTTTGTCTTATCCGCCGCATGGTCTTGCATAATGCACAAGCTGTCGACCCAAAGATATTGCTCGCCCAAGCCTCGAGTGACTTGGAGAGCATCCTCGACGACAGGCGGCAGTACGGTAGCACTGAGTGACCCAGGGGTGAGGAAAATGTGGATATTGCTTTGGAGCAGGCGAGTGGTGTTTGTCGTTCCCCAGACGTAGCTCAGGCATACCCAGGTATCTGTCTCTCGTGCCTGCACGAGACACCTCTGATGGACGTCAATGACTCGAGGGGAGATCTGTGGTGTTCCTCTGAAGATCTGAGAGCATTTGCTTCCATGGATGTTTTGGCACGCCTCTTTCCACCTTTGAAATAAAGAGAGGTTTGCAACAAGGGGCCGCAGGCGACCGGTATAGGGTTCAGGAATGGCGCTATCATCGGTTGCTAGCCAAGTCAAGGCTTGATTCTCAATGTTCTTCTGAACCTTTGTCGATGCGGTCTTAGGATATGATTGAAAGAAGAATGTGATCGAGTATGTCTTGTCATCATTTGTGGCAGTCGCATGGGGGATGGTGTAGTTTATCCTGAGACGGTCTGAATGAGCCTTCTGTATCGCGGAAGATACTCCATTTTTCACAGTATGCCAATCTGTATCCAGCCGGATGTCCACACGAGACCGAGAGACGTCGAGATGTTGCGTCTGGCCTGCCGGGGCGTTGTTGATCCACTCATTGACCAGGTTGACAATCTTCCTGCAAAGCGAACACTTTATAGCACTGTTCGATATAGCGACAAACTCTCTTTGCACAAAATAGTTGTTGCTCGAGTACTCTGCAGAATCGTGGTACCCTATGTACTCCAAGTCGAGATGGCGACAGAGAATGCAGAGATCGCCAGGGCTCGATGGCTCAACAGCTGGAGATCATCAACCCTGAGTTTTCTTGGGTTAGAGATTGGATGAATAAAAGCAACACTCACTCTTTGCGGAAACTATGTCGCCTTCGTCATCCGCGAACCGAAGCGAGTCTCTTGACGAGATTGAGGGTATCGCGATCGAGGACATGCTATACCTTGTTGAACTCGTCAACTCGACTCGGTATCAATAGTCGTGTCATATTGTGACAGTTTCACGATTTCTGATGGTGCTGCTATTTTCTAAACCCAAGTAGGGTTCCTGAGCGCCCAAGAATCAGTGTTCTTCACCGAGAAGGCCGCTTTAGGCATGGCGAACCCAAGGAGCCAACCCGACTTATCGACAGTTGAAACACGGACAGAGAACGATATGACGAGGGATAAATGGATGTGGCCTTCGCGCACTCCCTAGGCTTGAACCGTATCTGGCGACTTGATCATTTGTTTGCGAGTAACTCACCTGTAAGGTCGTTGCCAGAAACCCGTCTCCGGTTTAACACAGCAGTAGACTGCCAGACAAGTTCGGCGGGAGATTTCCCTGCAATCTGTAAATATAGAGTGCAGTGCCGAGTAGCCTACGAAATACGCACTCCGTAAGATAGCATCCTTGCTCTTGTTCAGGGCTGAGGTCCGTGGGGCAAGTCCAGCGGATTTCAGATTACTCGTTCTTACATACTGAGATACCCAGCTCTTTGTACATGGACGATGCTTTGCAGAGTACCAAGTATAAATAATACAAGATCGACGTCAGAGTGATAGACAGACACCTTGCAAGGGCGAGAGCACTGCAGGACAGACAGCTAATAGACGGGCGCAGCACTTGCTTCCTGTGTTCTCCTTTCTCGTCCATGTACAGATGTTGTTCGTTTTCTCTCTGCCAGTCGCTAAACGGACGCCATGTAATGTAGACGCTTTCTGCACCACCTGGGCTCTTCCATTGCTCGCTCGCTCAATCTCGAGCGTCTCTTCACCTCGCCTCTCTTCAAATGGCGACTGATTTCCCTCCGTTGGTCAATCGATACCAGCCCAGCCCGAACGCGGCCCAGCTCAAGCCGAGCAACACAGGCGCCCCGCGTTTCTGCGGCTCGCCATGGCTCTCTTTGAACTCGTCGTCCACCCACTTCGTGCCCGGGTACAGGATGGCAGACACCTGCGTGGCCCAGTACAGGCTGCTCATCAGCGCCGCCGTGAGCAGGTTGTCTAGAAGGCCCGACCTGGTGGACGTGTTGGTTGTCCGCCAGGTGTAGTACCATGTGAGCAGGCCCAGGCCGAGCCCTGTGGACATGGTCTGGCCGTTATGAAATTTCGCGTGAGGGGTCCAGCGTGGATTGAAGACGTGGGTTTCGTTCCAGTCCGCCAGGTAGCCGCCCGCGGCGGAGGCGAGGCCGAGGAGGGAGAAAATGATGCGGGTGGGAAGCACGGCGGAGGAGGTAGTGTCCGAGGACATGGTGATGGGAGGCGGGAGGGAGATGGGTGATGATGCGTTGAGAGGGAGAACTGTTGGAGACGGAGACAGCGATGGAGGACAGAAGTGCGATGAGTCTGGTGGGAAGACTGGGAGGATGGAAGGATGGAAGGATTCAAGGTGAGTGTTGTTGTGTTTTGGTGTGTTGTTTGGTTCCTCGAAGTTGGCGCGGCTGCTGTCAGATGTTGGTGTGACGCACCTTCGTCAACCAAAAACCATTACGAGGTAACCTCCCCAGACAGCTTCATCTCAGGGGCACCAGGCCTCAGTCAGCCTAGCGACGCCTCCAACCAACTCCTTGTCCTGGCGCTATTAATACTAATAATAAGTTCTTGATGAACCCTTTTTGGGCAGCTCGGGTCCCCAAGACTGCAAAGGTAAATGAAGCTTGCTCTATTAACCACAACGCCTCCAGGTGGCCTGAAGGAGCAATAAACCTCCTCCTTTCTTTCGTCTTACCTTGCTAGTTCAGTTGGACGAGGTTTGGCAGCGGGAGAAGAATAAACAGCAAGTATAAGGAGCTGAATCTCCCACCTCACCCGCCATCCCTCCTTCACCATCCCGCCCATTTAATTCAAGCAAACAAACAAACAAATAAACAAAAGGGCCATGCCGTCACGCCAATTGGAAGTCGGCATCATTGGCGCCGGCATAGCTGGACTTTCGGCAGCCATCGCCCTCTCTCGCTCCGGCCACTCTATCTCGTTGTATGAGAAATCCCGATTTCGCAATGAAACCGGTGCTGCCATCATCATTGGGCCCAACGGCACAATGATCCTGTCTAAATGGGGCTTCGACTTCGTCAAGGCCGGAGCTCTGGATTACAGCCAGATGCGCCGCATCAGGGCTGACACCATCGAGGTCGACTCGGAGGAGTTCTTCACCGGCGTCCGGGAACAGTACGGCGACAGGTGGCTGCTTTTCCATCGCGCCGACCTACATGCTGGGCTGAAGGAATTGGTCGAAGCTTGTGAGCCCCGGCCACAGATCAACCTCGGCTCCCCCGTCGTCGACGTCGACGTCGACAGCGGTGTCCTCAAGCTTGCCACCGGCGAGGAAGTCAGGAAAGACCTTGTTATCATCGCTGACGGCGCCCACAGCGAACTGATCGCCAAGGTCATTGGCCGTCCCTATCCCGTGAGCAAGTCGCCCATGTCCATGTACCGGTTCCTGCAGCCCTTTGACAAGGTCCTCGCGCACCCGGAAGCAGGGCAGTTCTACAAGAACCAGCCGCCCGGGTTCACGACCTTCTACAAGACCGAGGTCGGTCGCCCGGGCCTGCTGATCAACACCTACCCTTGCCGTGGCGGCGAGCTGCTGTACGTGGCGCTGGTGCACCCGACCAAGCCTAAGGAGAAAGGTATTGAGGGATGGGACTCGCCCGCCGAGTTGGCCGACGTCCTCGCCGACGCCAAGGGCTTCCATCCCGCCGTGCAGGCCGTCTGCGAGGGCGCCACCGACATCAAAGTGTACACGCAGATGTGGCGCGACCCGATCGAGCACTTCTCACGCGGCAGGGCCGTCCTGATCGGCGACGCCGGCCACCTGATGCTGCCGACGCACGGCCAAGGGGCGTGCATGGCCCTAGAAGACGCGATGGCGCTACAAGTTCTCTTCAGCGATGTGACAGACGCGGACGACGACAACGCCGTACAATCGCGCCTGCAGCTCTTTGACAAGCTGCGCCTCCCGCGCGTCAGCGCCGTGCAGACCATGTCCAACAAGATGATGGGCCCGCCCGACAAGATGATCGCAGAGGTCAAGCGGCACTACACCGGCCCCATCCCGGGGCCCAAGGCAAAGACCTTTTCTAAGGAGTACAATGACTTTTTCTTCCTGTACAATGTCGAAGACGAAGCGAGGAACTTGCGTTAGCGTCAATGAATAAAGTAACAAGAGCCAGAAAAGAAACAAAAAGAAAAGAAAAGAATAAAAAGGACAGGAGCTAGCTTAGGATGAATAGAGCGAGTCTATACCCTCGAAGGGGTCGGGGCAGAATGGGTTGGGATGGGATGAGGCTAGATCGAACATTGCCCACCAGATTGACTGATACGTACCTAGGTATCTACGGAGTATAGATATAGTAGAACTCTTTCTGATACTAGGAGAAACAGACACACATAAAGAGAGATACGGCGAGAGACTAAAAAGGAAAAGGAAAAAGAGAATTTTTGCTAAACTAAAAAATCACATAACACCTCGATTTCCCGGTGAAATCCTATTACGTTCGATATGCCTCATCCCTCCCTTTGCTTCCCTTCCCTTCCATCCCTCCTTCCTCCTGTCCCTCCCTACCTGGCATCAAAGCCGGTGAAGCGACCGAATCACACGCAGGATCCAGATGCATATATATGCTCTCTAGAAAGCGCGGTGCCGTTCCGCCTCCTTGCCGGGCGGCGTGGGCTCCGCGTGTCTTGCGAACAGCCTTCTGAGACCCTGATTAAGGATGAGATCCATGATGCGCGCGGGGCCCTTGGCGAGACTGTGGATGCTAATGCGTCGGACGCGGAAGAGGTAGTACAGGGCGATGCATGCGAAGATCTGTCCACGGCCGAAATGAATAGAATGGTTAGTTAAGGGAGTTCGTCAACACGATCGATGGGATGGGTGTAATGGTGATGGAAACGGTAACGGTAATGGCAATGTAGCAGGCGGGTAGGTGGATGGGCAAGCTTGGGTCATGTCCCAAGTTGAGTTTCCAACCCCAGGGAAAGGAAGGAAACCAGGTGAAAGAAAGGTCCGAAAAAGGAGAAGGAAGGTCCGAGGTGAAGGGAGGACTTACGTTGAAGATGATATACGCGAACCCGATTCCAAAATTCCGCCATCTGTCGCTGGGGTAGATCTCGCTGGCGGCCAGGAACTGGTCTGCCGACGTGAGCGGGCAGTACTGGCATTGACTGGTCGCGTTGGGATTGTACAGCTGTCCCGGCGCGCCACCGTTCAAGTATGCGGCCAGGTACTGCGCGCAGGTTTGGCCGGACGGCGGGTCAAACTTGGCGAGCTCATTCTGGGCGCAGTGGACAAGCCGACCTCGCAGACCTGTCCCCGCCCAGCCAGCGATGAGATAGGTCATGGGCGATACTCGATCTGGTAGCAATGGTTAGTTACTGTAGGAGAGCACAGCCGAAAACGGAAAAGGGGGACCAAGGCACATACACATGAATATCCAAAAGCCGGGCAATGCAGAGGGATTTTGCAGGACACCGTTGAAAGTGAGCATCATGCTAAACAACAGTGTTGCAATATTTCCCGCCGTTTCCGCGTCAGGCATGGCCGCAATGATCATATGGGAAAAAGTGCTTGTGAAGACCATGAATTGTACCACGAAAAGCAGCATTAGCCCTCTCGTTTCGTCGCTTTGATTCTTGCCGAAGAGGGCAAAGTACCACGAGATCCACATCAGGACGGCTAAAACGACCTGGTAGGGGATTTCGACGAAGATGTTGCCGATAAGAAAAGCGATCCACGAATATGCCTTGGATGGACGCTCCCGGACTTCGTAGAGGGACCGTTGGATGACAAAGCGAGGCATGATTTGTTGGACGAGGGATGAAAAGATCCTTGTCGTTGGTCAGTCAGTATCAAACAGGGGAGGTATCTAGGTGCGAGATTCAACTAACGTGACAAGCATAAAAATGCCGAATATGGTGTTCTGCAGACCGGTCGAGGTAGCATTCTGCTTGTAGAATGAGAAACCGATAAACAATGCAGACATTATCCCCAAGAGAAATCTAGAGGCACGTCAATTGTCGTCATTCCCTTTCAGTGAGATAGATTCAGTACTTACTTGCCGGTGATATAAGACGGCGTTCTCCAATACTGTTGAAACACCCGGTGAGTGACATGGTAGATCTGAGCACTAAGTGGCATCGCAAATTCGGATGTGGACGATGCATCTGCTGCCGGCTCGGATCGCTTGGCTTCCTGGATCCGATCCAGTTCTGCTTGCACCTCTTGAGCTTCAGGGGTCGTCTTCCACACTTCGCTCCAGTCACGGTCAGACTTCTTCCCACAGATATCGAGCATATACTCGGCAGGGTTTGCGTCGTCGTCGCACTTGGGAGCACCGTTCCGTTCAAAGTAGTCCAACAGAGTCCTGGAATTCTTGCCGATGTCGCCGAAATAAATTGTCTTGCCTCCTTTCATCAGGAAGAGGAGTCGGTCAAATTCTTGAAAGAGGATGGCGGATGGTTGATGGATAGTGCAGAGAATTGCTTGCCCTGAATCTGCCAGTTTTCGAAGGAAGGCAACAATGGACCAAGAACTCTGGGAATCCAAGCCTGATGTGGGTTCGTCGAGGAAAATAAGGAGAGCAGGCTTTGCTGCGAGTTCGACACCGATCGTAAGCAGTTTACGCTGTTCAACGTTGAGACCTTCCCCAGGATTTCCAACGATAGCTTCGGCGAAATCTTCCATGTTGAGCATTTTGATAACTTCTTCAACGAAGTCATCTTTCTCTTTCTTTGTGACTGAGTTCGGTTGCCGAAGGTAAGCTGAAAACCGAAGTGCTTCTCTGACGGTGGTGGTCTCAAGATGAAGGTCTTGTTGCTGCACGTAACCCGTCTTGCGTTGGAAGGAACGATCAAGGGGTTTACCATTGACAAGCTGCCATGAAAGAGAACGTCAAAACTTTGATCCAAAGCCAGCGGAATATGCTTGGGATGCTTACCATATCGCCTGTCAAAACACCTATCTTGATTCTCTGCGCCAAGGCATCCAGCAAGGTAGTCTTACCAGCTCCTGAAGTACCCATTAGGGCGGTCAATGTACCGGGCTTAACCCATCCTGAAACGCCGTCAAGTAACCTTCGAGGCTCGCCCTTGATTTTAATGTCGAGGGTCACATTCCGCCAAGTGAAGATGTCCTTTTGCGCAGGCAGAGCTTTGACTTCCTTGGCTTGCTTTTCTTCCGCCGATTCCACGCCCTTTTCGTCGGCCTGTACGCGCTCTTCGTCACTCTTACCGCCTTGTAGGTATGATGGGACATGACCTCTTCTGAAGACCAGGAATTCGGCGGTCGAGGTTGTGTCGGAGTTAATTTCAGTAGCGATAAAGTAGATGGCGAAGAAAAATATCATAAACGCAAAGAGAAAGCCGAGATTACGCCATATGTGGCTGTAAGAATATCCATAGGACGACGATACCCATGAATCACCGGAAACGGCAGTTTGGCCGGCCACGGCGCCGGCAACAGCGCATTGGAAATTGTCGCCAGTGCCGTAGGGTGGGACCAAGCTCGTAGGAGCACATGGGAAGTCCCGACCATGAACTTCGTTGACAAGGAGTGACTCAAATGCGTAGGCGATTGGATTGATCCAGGAAGACCATTTGAACCAGGGATGCATGAATGATCTTTGCAGCGTAAAGCCCGTGTCTAGCATGTTGTTAGCATCGGATTGGTTACACACAAGATCGAACAATTCGACCAGAACCTCTGCAAACAAACAAGAGCCCCAGAGCGGCACTTACATATAACAATCCAAAGGACCATGACTCCGGCAATGGCCATAGCGGCCGAAATGGTTTTTGTGACTGCTGCCGTTGTTCGAAAGATCGCTGACATGGTCAACATGGCCATAAAGTTGAACAGGAAGAATATGAAGAAATTTGATGCCCTGTACCTCAGCCCAGCTAGGAAGTATAGGATGATGTTGAATACGGTAGTTGTGCAGAATTTGATGGGCAAATCTGCGACAATACCTGCAACAGCCTCCGTGAATGGATGGTAGAAGGCGTAGGACTTGTGCTTGGCGACAATGGGTCTTTGGCTGTATAAGGTGTTGATCTCAACGATAGATTGCAGAGCACTGAGCAAGACAGCGAAGAAGAGAACAGATCCTTTAGCGAAGAAACTGCTAGTAGAGAGGGGAGTGCCAAAAAAGATGGATCCGATGATCAAGGCTTGTGCGATCTGGCTGAAGATGACGGCGCTGAAGTTGATGTTAGCTTGACCGCAAAGGTGAGACATTGGCAATTGGCCGGCACGACTTACATAGTCGACGCTTTGTCGTTCCAGAGTCTCTGATATGCTCGCGTAACGCAAAGGCGAATTTGCATCGGAATGCTTATCACGTATGGTGATTTCGGGCGCATATGCTCGGCTTGCCTCTGTTGATGAGCCTCTCTGAAGGTCTGAAGAGCTTCCTTTCCGTCAGCATCGACTTCTTCTGCGTGGTTTGTCTGCTCTTGAGACGCTTTATACTGAGAGCTTTCCAGCCAGTATTTTTCAAATTCCTCAGCTGTACGGGGAACCTTGTTCTCGAAGCCTTCTCTGGGTTGTCTCTCCCTTGGATTGGTGACGGACCTAGTATGAAGCTCTCAGCAAATCCATCTCCTCCAGCAATTTATTGAAATTCAAAACGTACGTCAAGAAGTCGCCAGTGGTTTGTCTAGGAGGACAATACCAGCCCATGTCTTCAAAGTATGCCCGAGCCTCATCACAAGGCCCAAAGTAAATCTGTCTCCCTTCGTAGAGCACGATTGCCTTGTCACACAAGTCATAGATGGCTTGTGAAGCTTGATAAATTGCAATGAGAGAAGTGAGGCCTGCGAAGTCTGCAGCAATCCTGAGCGAACGAACGAATTCGAGAGCGGTCTGCGAATCGAGACCACGGGTGGAGTTGTCCCATGCAGCAATTGGCGAACCTGTCGGAACATTATGGGCATGAGCATTCAGGCATATTTGAATCGATCTCACCTGCTAGAGCCATCTCGGCGATGCTGACACGTTTACGCTCCCCGCCGCTAACACCACGAACGAAATCATCCCCAACTTTGGTATTTCGGGTATGTGCTAAATAAAACGTTAACCACAACTCTCCATGAGGCGACTTGTACGGACGTGTTAACTTACACAAACCGAAGATATTCATCATGACAGATGCCATGTATTTGGCCCAAACATCTCGAGGAACATCCAGAATCCTGTTGGATGGAGTGCGACATGCGGCGGCGAAGTTGAGAGTCTCTCCCACCGTCAAGTGAGGAAAGTGCTTTTCGTTCTCTTGATTGTATATTGCCTCACCTCTGAACTCTTTCACAAAGAGTTCCTGCGGTATTCCACTGTAGGTGATCTTGGAGTCCTTTGACAGCTGGAGACCTTGGAGCTCGCCACAGATGGTTTTGAGGAATGTAGAGCAGCCACTGCCGGGTCGACCGAGGACAATCAGCAAATCTCCACTGTCAACATGTCCATTGAAGTTGCGCAATATTTGTTTCTCAACAGGGTGTTTGAAAAGTTCACGGATGCGGAAGGGTTGCATGAAGACGGATCCAACATTCTTCTGGAGTACTAGGGCGGATCCTTTTCCAGAAACACTAAGATTCTTGAAAGTGAAGCCAGATCTTCGCAGTTTGATGTTCTGCTGTTCGAGCAGCTGGAGGAACTTGCGGATCCATAGGTAAAAATTGAATGAGGGATTATTAGGATCAAACTCCGGGGATTCAATGCCCATGCCGGCAACAGTGTCCTGTCTCTGCAGGCCATCGCTGGTGATGGTGCGAGTTCGAGCTCCGGACAAAATGGATGCAATCTTTGCAAGCTCATCTCGATTTGCGTCTTCTCCGTCGTCGAATCGATACTCATCGGTGTCTCTCGTTTTTCGTGTTCGGATTGGCTCGAATGCTGGACCTTCAGAGCTGCTGGTCGATATTTCGCGGTCGAGGGAATTGTCCGTTGGTGGCGGACGATGAGCCTCGTCGTCTTTACTCATGATGTCAGTATCAACGGCGAGCTCACGTCAGGCTGTGGACAGTGTTGGCGAGTTGGAATGCAATAGATTCTGAAAACCGGGGTTCCCCAAATATTCGACCTCTCGCGTTTAGGCTCTGCCGGGCTCAGAGACACGACCCAAAAGTGCCACCAATTTAACCAAGAGTATATAGCAACGACGGAGACATATGGCAAGTGTAGCTGATATCGAAGCAGAACAATAAGATGGGAGAACAGCGAGAGTCGAAGGGTGAACCACGTACGAGTATGATGGACCGTTCTCTTACCACGCTTGGGCTTTCTGGTTGCACTAGGTACATGTGGAAGGGTAAAGAGACGTCTTATTGGACCATGGCAGTACCCTGTATTTCTCGGCTTGATTAGCGAAGCACGGAAACCTTGCATAGCTCGTCGGCCGTCGAGGTCAAGGCTCAAGAATCCGCCAAGGCCAAGGGTTTGCGGAAGTCCCGCGACAGGATGGGAAATGCCGCTTGACGAAGCAATTTGATTGTCTGAGGTCTTGTAGGTTGACAAGGGCCCCCAAAACCCACCATTTTCATTGCGCTAGGAACAAGTGAAGCGATAGTAATAACATCTCCGGCGTAGATTATACCGTATCATGCATAGTGCTGATTCTGTACCAGGATACAAGGCCCAAGTACTCCATATACCGTGTCCTCATTGCCCCAGAAGAGTAATATGATATGGACTTAGCTGACAGCCCAACTGGGGTGATCGGCGCGGTAGGACTTAACGCTGAGGAAATGTGAGTTCCCAAGCGGCGTTCGTGTGTAACGACCTAGTCGATGGTGACCAACACCCCCAGCAAAGGGCAAATTCCGAGGGGCCGTCGAGGGGGCCTGAAGGGGCTTGGGGCCTCGCGTATGTTACTTAAGGCCTTACATAATGCTGCTTGATGGGCTGGCTCTCTCCCGAATAGGACAGCAGCCAAGGGTGAAGCAGTGTCACCAGGGCTAGCGTTGCTTACTGCGCGGCAGCAGGAACAAACGATTGCGCACAGACTGCATAGGCACTGAACACCAAGAATGCACCAAGGGTCTCGGGAGGGACAAGGAACCGCGGCCAAGGGCCTTTCAAGGGCACTGCTGGTGGCGATTCGCTTGTGCATTGCGTACTAACAATGGAGTTCCGGAGGGTTGAAGGAGACTATTCCGGATTCAAGTTCCCACCCGTGTCAACACGAACGGAGGGAGATGGAAGCTCTGAGGGCGATGATTTGCGTGGGAGTCAATGGGTCGATGCGAGGCCGAATCAGAGACGCGAGCTGGGTTCGGGATGGAGCCTAGAGTATTCGGTATTGGAGAATTATTACCTCGAACAGCAGAGTTTGCGAAGAAGAAATACCCAGTATGCGCGGCCGAGTGACAATGGTGACGATGTGGCGGCGCAGTTGTTATTGTTATGCCAAGCCGCCATTTCCGAATCCGTCCAGCACCGTCGGCCGAGCATCAGCAACTCGCATCAGAACAATTCGACTCACACAACCCTCTCTGCAAACACATCACCCTCCCAGCAATACGAAATACGGGCCCCCACCGTCACCAAAATAGACTCTACCGCCCTCTCACCCGCGACACGATGATCAAATGTCGTTGCCTGGTCTTGGACTAGAAGAGCCAGAAGAGGTTCACACCGTTGAGACCGCCCAACACGATCTCGCAAAAGAGACAGAATGGCGTTTCGAGGTCGCCGTGGGCAAGTATACACAGGTCAAGGTGAGCTGACCTCTTCAATCCGCTGCTGAGCTTCTTCTGATGCACAAGTCGCGCAGTTGTTAACAGGATCCGCTGAGCTGTTTGGGACTGAACTCGTGGTCGGGAACACCTACACCTTCACGGGCACAAAGGCTGCCATCTACACTTGGAATGGCTGCTCGTTCGAGGTCACCGGTGATGCCCTGCAAAGCGAGTATACCGCTGAGGAGACCCCCATGAGCGAGTACATCAATGTTCACTTCGCCCTGGAAAACTTACGTGTTCAAGCTCAAGCCGCTGGACGCGAAGGCCCACGAGTCTTGATCTTGGGACCCGAAAATGCAGGCAAAACGTCCCTCGCCAAAATTCTCATAGGCTATGCTTCTCGATCTGCTCGCTCCCCGGTTGTGGTCAATCTGGATGTCAAGGAAGGGGTCATGAGCATCCCTGGCACTCTGACTGCCACGGTCTTCAAAACACTGATGGATGTCGAAGAAGGATGGGGCACTGCGCCCATGTCGGGCCCTAATGGGGCCATTCCTGTCAAGTTACCACTCGTCTACTTTTTCGGCAGCTCGAAACCACAGGAAAAGGAAGGGAAGGTCTACAAAGCTCAGATCAACCGGTTAGCTCTTGCGGTGGCAGGGCGTAGAGCTCAGGACGCCGAAGCTAGAGAAAGCGGAATGATTATCGACACACCGGGAAGTTTGACCACTTTGAAAGCTGGCAGTACTGTGGGATACGACATCATCCAAGACATGATTTCTGAATTTGCCGTATCGGTCGTCATCTGCATGGGCTCAGAGAGATTGTACAGTGACATGGTCAAGAAGTTTGATGGACAACCTACGGTATTCCGACCCTCATTGTCCACTGCAACGACATTATCCGCCGCGCCCGAAACGATATCCGTAATCAAACTTGCCAAATCCGGCGGCTGCGTCGATCGCGACGAAGCATACATGACTGCCTTCCGCGCTGCGCAAATCAAGACATATTTCTACGGCAACCCGCGCCTGAGCAACGGCATCTCCCTACAGCCTCGCCATCAACAAGTGGATTTCTCCACGTTGACCGTTTGGCGCCGTGTTGGGACCACCCCAGACCCGTCATCAGCAACAGCAGCTGCCAACGCAGACGAAGACGAAGAGGACTCCTTCCTGCCCGGCGGCGCAGGCGACGACGCTGATGACAACACATCCCCCTATTCCATGTCAAAGGTTCCGCTTCCCGAATCTCAAATCTTCGAGCGCATCACCGCCCCCATCGCGGCCATGCGCAGCTCTGTCCTCGCGGTGATGAACTGCGAAGGAGAAGCCGAGCAGGAGGTCATTCGCGACAGTACCGTGATGGGGTTTCTGTACGTCACGGACACAGATGAGGTAAGAGGGAGAATCAGTCTGTTGAGTCCTGTTGCGGGGCGAGTGCCCAGTCGGGCGATTGTGTGGGCGGGATGGCCGGAAGGTGTTATAGGGTTGGAAAGAACATGATTCTTGCCGCAGTCTTGGAACGGAAAAATCATCGCTTGGGTGCATTGGAGCAACGCAACGCGCTCCCACTACAGAACCTGAATAGAAGAAAATTGATGTCGATTAGTCTTGGTTGAAGGCTAGCCTCAACTTTTGCTCTGGGGTCCGAGATTTTGTTGTACATTTTTCCCCCATGTCGCCCACCATGCATGCAGACCTTTGGGGTTCCCAGCCGTCTACTCAAATCTTTTTCCCCGACAACTGAGTGCGCAGTAGCTACCTAGCTAGGTAGGTAGGTGGAAGAGAAACGCCCTCCACAGCCCTCCCTCTCATTCTACTCTGCCTTGGCCACCAGATCCCGCAGGATAGCGAGCAGACTCTGAATGCCCTTGATTGCGTTCTGGTCGGGACCCTCGCCGGGCGTCCAACGGGCGTGGGCAAAGTCGATGAGGCGCAGTTCGTGGACCTTGTGCGGGCGCGTATCCTCCTCGTCATCATCATCGTCTTGTAGCATGCCCTCGCCTCCGTCTACTCCGTCCCGACCATCCTCCTCCTCTTCACCCGCAATGCTGACCTCCAGCGCCTCCGGGTCTCCTTCATACACCATCAACACACTCGCGCTGTACATTCTGCTCTCCTCGTTCTCCAGCACGTACTGTATGCTCTCCAACTCCCTGATGAACCGGCGGATAAGGAACTCTGCCCGCTGACGTTTAAACCGGATTCTCTTCGTCGCGGCGTCGCCGTTCTCCTCCTCCTGGACGATGCCGCCGAAGTACGTCGTGAAGGCATCGTCGACGCTGTCTGCCGAAAACGACTGGCCGTAGTACTTGTTGTAGGATCTATACCCGTTCTTGACCTCGACATACTCTTTCTCTGCGGGCGGCACTTCGACTTCGGCGTCTTCTGCCCCTGCACCAGCCCACATCTTCATCCCAGCGAGACGAAAACCTAGACTCCCACTCGTTGTCTTCGCCGTGACCTCGTCGAGCTTCCTTCTCTTTGCCAACGGAGCGTCGTCGTCCCAGAGTCTGACACCGAGCTTCACGTCCAACACGTTCGGGTGCTTGAACCCGGACACGACATTTTCCAACACAATGGCGAGACCCGTGGTGATTTTCTTGCCGCCTGAAGGTTTCCACGAAACTCGCCTCATAAGCCCCGGTGTGGTTTCTGTAACAGCCCCTTGTGTTGCGATCCCATCCACGTGTGGAGGGGCAGCAACGCCATCCTGAGAGGACTCAAGCAGCGGAGCAACGGCGTCTTGGTCGTCGTGTTGCGAGAGGGAGCCAATGAAGGTAGGCATGTGGGCCTGGAATAAGGGGTGGTCTTTGGCGGACTCGTAGAAGTCGATCTCGGCTTGGGTGCAGGGCTTGATGATGAGGGAGCCCGAGGCGTTGGAGCTGATGCCGTCGCTGTGGAGGGAAGCTGTCAGTTTCTATGCAGACACGAGAAGGGTTTTCTTACTGTCCAGCAGCGGTGTGATCGAAGGCCACCAGCTCGGACTCTGAGAGCATTGCTGCCACCCTTTTGCTCGCCTGCGCTGAGGTTGTAGAGCTCCCCATTTCACTAGGTATGCGTGGGGGGAGGGAACGCAAGGGTTATACAAGAGTGGGACACCTTCCAATTGCTAGAGCTGCGTACATTTATGTACCCGGGACTTGGTAGATCAATCCATTTGTATGGGCACCGACACTTCTCGAAGGATTTCCGTAAAGGATTGTAGGGGGTGGGATTCCTAGCCCAAGCTGCCCGCCCGGATGCGGTCATGATTGGCGGAACATGTTGTTAGTGGTAGTTGCACCAAAGGCTTCTTTTCTGTTAATTCTTCAGCCTCGCCATCAACATCTGGAGGTCTGACGCTTGTAGTCGGGAAAGGCATTGTAAGAGCGTGGTGCGAATCATGCAACGTGTCACCTCGATTGCCGCACTCTGGCTTTCTGCAGAGATGATTGTTTGCTACTGCGACATTCAACTTCCCACGCGGCGGTAAATACTGCTTCACTTTTACCAAAATTCGCAGAGGTCAAAGTGAATGGCGAAAGCCTTTCTATAAAACATTCCATTTATCTGCAGCTCCGGTCAATCTCTCATCCTGCAAACTGTCTGCTGCCATGGAAAACTCTGAAACGAAGAAACTTCCGATGAGGCTTCGAGCCAACACGATCCCGCCAAATGAGACTCGGGATCCCACTCAACCCTCTCAAGAGCCTGATGCCGGTGAGGGCGATGGAAATAGAAGAGATCAAGAGGTCCAAGAGGATCGCGATTACGGCGAGGTCACCCACGTCCCCCCGGTTGAGGTGAAAAAGAAGAAAAAGAGGAGTAAGAGGCCAGCGAGTAAGCGCGGGTTGGTAAGGCTCCGACTTGACACCAAGCAGGGAGGCAACATTTGTGCTGACGATCATCGAAGGGCAAACCTTCTGGCTTCGAAGATTACTTCGCCGACGCCCCCTTGACACCAGAACAACATGCTGAAGAGCAAGAAATTTATCATCCGTAAGGCAGATCCATATCTTTCAAAGAACAGAGATCCTCAGATCATCTAACCATCCCCTTCGATAGCCGTCTTCCCTTCGTGGAGAGAGTCGCTACCGCCATTGCTCGCTTCGAAAGGAGCCGTAAACTCACACCACAGCGTCGTGATGCCCTTTACAAGTATCTCATGTACGGCGGCTTGACGGTACGGCCAAACGTCGGCCAAGGGGGCCTAGACACTGAGGGCATGGACAAGACCCAAACCGCCCTTGCACTCTCACAGGTTTGGATCAGTGAGGACAAACGAAACTTGGGCACTGAGACCAGTGTCTATGAGGTCGACTTCCTCAGCTGCGTGAAGGGCTTCTTGAGCCGACGTGCGAAGGACATCTTCGGCTTCGACACTGAAGAGGAAGTCAATATGGTTTGCACCACTTTGGAGAGATTCATGGATTATCTCCTACAGCATGACGTCTGTCCCGAGTACAAAGAAGACGTGCTCGCAGCGCGTGAGCTGTGCCGCAAAGCAGGACCCGAGCTCTGGGACATGGCCGAGGCGACACGCCGCCTGCCGGGTGAGTTCAACATTGCCTGCTCAACTCTGTTCGATGGCAGCTATTCGCGCGACTACGACGGAGAAACGTGGTGGGGGAATTCCGACGGTGAAGAAGCTGTCTTTGTGGGCTTGAAACCAGAAGAAGCACAACAGATCGTAAAGTTTGGAGTCGCCGGTGCCGCCACTGAGAAAGTCTACACCGCATTCCTTGCGGGTGTGCAGCACGAGGCACCGAAGATGATGGACGTCGTCAAGATAGAGGAGCGTACCGGCTTCGAAATCACACGCATCGAGCCTCCCACAAAGGCATGCAAACAGATCTACACGAGTCACTCGCAGCACTTTCGCCCCGTCGGCTGCGTCTACGCCAAACCATGGAAGAATCCAGACGCTCTACCCGAAGATATCACTCCGGCTGAGAAAGAAGCATTGTCCCCGCCATCGGTTCAAGCTGTGGAGACTGAGTACGTCTTTTTCATCGAATCGATCCTCCAGTCCTGCCTGCGCGTAGGCACCAAGGTCGAAGCCACCGTCCGAACACTGGGCTGTGGAATCACCTTTTTCGATGAGGTGCTGAACGTATACCCCTCATTCGATGAGTTTCTGGTCAACGAGATGATGGTAGGGTGGAAATCGCCAAGGCCAGTGAAGGGCGCGCTGGATTATGTTTCTGGGGATGACAGTGACGGTGGTGAGGACGACGGCGGTGGTGGGGGGGGCGGTGATGGTGAAGCCGGGAAGAATATGTCATCTCCAGCAGACGAAGAGCAGCAGTCCAAGTGACGGGGGAACAGGTCGACAGCAACACGGCACATTCCTTTGATAGGAAATTGTGGACGACAAGAAATCAGGGTTGAGAAAACCGATGGTCCTTCCCCGTCCCTCAGTATGAGCGATTAACACCCAGTGTTTAAGTATCACTGGTCCCAACGTGAAAACCTCCTAGGCTAGATTGGAAATGCAGTCCAGTCCAACTCGATCCAACCCAGTGCGCCGTCCATCTCGGCTCAGGTGGACTCATGTCAAATTCCCGTCTACCCAGCTAGCCACCACACGAAGCCTATCCCCCAAACGATCCCAAATTTGTATGTATCTACGAATCTCTAGTCTCTAGATCCAGAGATCCCCAGATCCATCAGCACCTCGGAGGGAAGCCAGCTTTGCTTTGGGGTTGAGGAGGCATTCCGCCATTCAACAAGCATGTAGCTTTTCCTCCCCCCTAGATATTAATTTCATAGCGCAGCAATTACATAGTATTATGTACTTAGGTATTCAAGTCAAAGGAGCCAGATTGGGCTCCCTGCTCAGGGAGGTTCAGGGAGTTACGCAGCCACGCTCTCCTCAGCCAGTGACCATCTAGAGACCCTCCGCACTTGGAACTACACCAGATACGATTCGAGTGAATAGACTTCTTTAATAATTCTACTGCATCTCATCCCTGGCACTCGATGGCGAGATTAGAGAATATATTGTAACAGAGCACTTCAGGGTTCGGCGTGTACGTGCAACAATATGCAGAGGCCTGTCCAGCAGGTCGGGAATCGAGAACGCGTTACTGGTCGGCGCTGACAGGGCAACACCACTGTTGACAGGGTCTCGAGATAACCACTGTGTGGCAAACCACCAGTGACGTTAGGCGTTTCACCAACTGCAGCGCCTACCTCGACGTCGTTGTTCTCGCAGACCTGTGATAGGATGGCGACGGAATAGGAGGTTTCAGGAATGGCCTTCAAATCACAGGCCAAAGTGTATATAAACAGACAGTCTCTTTGAATAGCCAGGGGGACAGAACACAATCAATCAGACAGATACACTCCTGTTCTGTGTACAACAAGAGGTAAGCACAACCTTCCGGAGCAGGCGGCGGCCTCGGACTGGAATATGCTTTCTAAAGGCGCGAAGGTCCTGATTAATGACTATTCGGCTCCTATTAGGGTATTCGAGGCGACGTAATTTGCTCGGACCAAGTGGTGGAGGAGGTCAAGAAACTCGGCCGCGAAGCGTTTGCCCACGGCGCTGCTGTCCCAAGCCCGACGAGGCCAAAGCGATGGTCAATCAAGCCGTTCAAGCATTGTGAATCGTACACATCTCATCAACAACGCAGGAGTCGTGACCCACGGTGCGCCGGATATTATCAGCGAGGAAGAACACCGAAAGGCTCGGTGCTCTGCATGAACCGAGAGATGGGCACCGGCTCAGTGAAGTCGGGAATCAAAAATAAATTGTGTGTTGCCCGAAGCCGCCAGTCGAATGAATGATCTGTCCCCGATCCTGGAGAACCTCACCAATAAGTGTGGCTGGTGAGGCTTTCTACCTTCCCGCATAGCAACTTCCCTCGTCGCTCTGTGCAGTGACGAATGTCCTATATTTGGCCAGTCGTTTAATGTCGGAAAAAGGGCCGCTCGAACCACTTTCGCGTCATTCCCGGGTACGGTCTGCGAGACTGATGAAGGCTACCTCAAGAACCTCGAGAAAGTCAAGCGTGACCTCAACGAGGCGTTTTTCCCGTCAGTGCCTTGGAGCTGGGGCGCTACGCGATCAAACGGTGGTCGGGTTCGGATCCTGGTCGAGCACTTGGGAGCTCCCCGATCTGAGCTTGAAAATCGCAAAACACGCTCAGACTTAGTAAGCCTTCATGTCCATTGCACTACACAGCCCCGAGGAACGCCACTAGAGCATAAATGGGTGTAGCAGTGGATTTAGCTCCTCCAAACTAATTCCTTGGAAGCAGATTCCAGTAAAACTCATATCAAGTTTCGTTCATTGCATCCTCTAGGATTTCCCACATCACCTTAGCTTTAACCCTGCAACCACCACATTGATCAATGACGCATCCTTCTTTTAGCTTCATGGAGATGGCGTCCACCTTGTCATTGGTAGTGGCAAATGGCAAGACCAATTTTTGCGCCATCGAACACTCAATGTCGCCGTTTGCCGTGCCGGCAGGGGTCAGGTCAGTAACGCCCTGCGATTCAACACTTGGTTGGGCGAGAATGTGTGGTACGGACGTACAAGGCCGACGGCTGTCAAAAGTTTCTAGAGTCGATGAAGGGGATTTGTTCCGCAGGCCCTGGACATCGAGGGTTGAAGTACTCTTCTGGCTGGGTGGCGATGTAAGAAGCTCCCAAGTGGTGTCATCAGGATAGGAACTATTTGCTGATAATACGCGCCCAAGATCAGAACATGTTTGGGTAGATTTAGTCGAAACCTGCTGCCGATTTAACTGTGAGTGAAGATGAAACCGGAACCTCCTGACTTACGCTATTTGAATTGGTGCGTTTCGACATACGCGGGAGCTGCCTCGCGGGTGTCTCAATTCCATGAAGCCAGGATTCAACAACCGCATCTTCCACTCCCATGAAGCGGATAAGGGCCCGAAGGCGGGAATTATCATTGGCGACTTTCTGTCCCGCGAGCTGCACTTCCCGCATGCCAGCAACTTGTTGGTTATGCGCATCAGCCAGTCGGCGCTGCAAACCTTCGACATACTCTCTTTGCCGAGCACGATATCTTCGCTTGTTCTCTCTATGACGTATAATGTGCGGATTTTCAGCCTGACAGGGGGATTGAAGTTCATTAGATATATAGGGACTGCAATATATGAGACGTCGGCAGTCACAGACTTACCGAGTTTCCTTCCATGGAGGCCTATCTGGGGTCGAATTTGGTATGTACAATCCCGCAGGCTCATTTAGGGGTAGACGTATCAGTGGTAGGGATGGTGGTACTCTTGTACTTCATTTGAAGAGCTAAGTTTGGTGCATGAAGGAGGTGATTGAGAACCCAGCAGTAGTGGCATGCAAACGGGAAATCGTAGAATGAGTCCGAACTGATTTCATTTTTGGCCAATCATAAGTCGGCTGTCCGTCCATTCATGCTTTTCGCTTAATCCAATTACACTTCGGTTAAGGGCAACTAACCCTGCAGTGCCCTGCACTTTCGCGGCCATAATTTGCGGGCGGATGCCACAGACGTGGGCCAATCACATCTACGCTGGGTGTCCTCATTGTTTCCCGCGTGATGGCCATTGCTTCCTGTGCATTCTGCCCAGTACTATAAGGATAGAGAGGCTATGCATGTGTTGAGGTCTAGGTGCGCTCTCCTCTGTCTTCTCTACCGTCCCCTATCCATCCAAATGGCTCCTCTATCAGAAAAAGAATTGTCGGTCCCTCCCCCCACCGAACAGGGCATCCACGACAGAGGGCCCGTACCTCCCATATTAACAGAGATTATTGAAGAAGAATCCCAGAGTCCGAGAGTCGATCGACAGCCCCTAAATTCTACGTTTCCGGATCAAGATGAGCACGGTTACAATGATAATAGCAACGTCCCCAAATTATCCTATCCGAAAGTTTTCTGGTTCTTCTTCTACAACTTCGGTCTTTTCGCATGGGGTGGCCCTGTGGCACAAATCGCTCTCATTAAGGAGAGGCTTGTGGTGCAGGAGAAATGGATCACCCTACCACGCTTTCAGCGGGTCTTCTCCGTCTACCAGATATTACCAGGGCCAGAAGCAGCAGAACTTTGCATGTTTTTTGGCTGTTTGTCGGCAGGAAGGGTTGGCGGTTTTTTGGCTGGCCTCGCCTTTATACTTCCAGGATTCATCCTGATGCTTTTGGCCAGCTATTTATATACGCTTGCAGGGTTTGAGAATGTCTACTTCAACGCCTCATTCAAGGCTTTACAGCCCATTGTGGCTGCAATGGTATGTCAGCATCATACGTCGAGGATACCGGGACTAATTGGAACGGGTCAATAGATTCTACGTGCGACTCATAAAATTGCCCAGCACTCGGTGATTAAGCACTCAACCAAGAAAGTCGACCCATTTCTCGTCCTTGCAGCGATCCTTACATTTTTAAATTGTGCACTTCGAATTAATATGTACGTTCTGACATTTGCCAGGTAATTAAGCACTCTAACTTAAAGTCTAGATTTATCTCTTTGGGTCTGTATGGGGTTCTATACATGTTGCTTACCTGGCGACTCTGGATTCTCAGTGGACTGGTCTTTGTGCTTCAATATGTCGGCTATGCTCTCTACGTTGTTTTCCGAGGCGTCCCATCCCCGACGTCGCTGGCACTCGGAGTTTCTCCCTCTCCATCACTCATTAACCTATTTCTTCTGGGTTTGGTTGCAGGGAGCCTATCCTTTGGAGGGGCGTACACAGCCATTCCGTTTATTCAAGTGGAGGCCGTTCTAAAAGGCGGTTGGCTTGCCCAGAATGTCTTCTTAGATTGCATTGCTATCGGAAACGTCCTCCCGGCGCCGTTAGTCATCTTTGCCACTTTTGTTGGGTTTCAGGGCGGGCTTACTGACGGTTCAGTCGGTAATGCGTTCGCGGGCGCCGTCATCATTACGCTTGGAATGTTCTTCCCTTGTTTCGTCTTCACCATTGCAGGGCACGAACTTCTCGAGAAGTTGGTGAGGAATAAGGTACGTTGGATCCCATACTACATTGGATTTTTGGCACCCAAAACCGACTCAAGGTGGTGCAGCTACTCTCCTCATTCTTCGACGGACTTTGCGGTGCTGTCATTGGCGTCATCGGTGTCATCGCAGCACAAATCCTCAAATCAAGCATTGGGGGAAATGTACGACCTGATGATCATAACAACACGGCCAAACTACTTCAGCAGGCACTCCAAAGCGGACCTGCGGCTGCCATTTGCCTCCTTGCACTCGCAGCGATCTACAAGTTCACTCACAAATATACGCCTCTTGTTCTGGTCGTTGTTGGCGCTATTGCAGGGCAATTCATCTTCACAGATGTCGTGTTCTAAGACTTGAGGAAGATGGCACTGAAATTTTGGGCATTTAGCTTTACGAGCAGCAATAAAAGAGAAGTGCAGAAACTGATATCCACCGATGCACGGAAACAAAAAAAGGACGGTCACTCCGCCGTATGACCATCGACTACGGTTGCGGACGCATTGTCACGGCTGCTATGGGCAATGCCAAAGAAGGTGATACCCAGTGTAGCATCGCGGATGGTCTCATCCAGTTGCTCCAGACACGCCTGCAACAATGTTCGGCGGTCCCATTTCATTGCTGCAGCTACGTTCTGTGGAAAGAACTATAAGATATGGAGTCTAATATAGAACTAAAACTTTACGGAAATTTTGCCGTGTCGGCACATCCACGTTAAATTATGCTCACCATGATTCGTGGTCGGCATTTAGAGTAAAGCATAACCCACTTATAACATTGAATATTATTTAGAACAAGTTGTAAGGTGTGTCTCGAGGGTATGCCGATTTCGAGACGCCCGTAAGGTTTCTTCCCTACACGGAGGTTAGTCGAATGTGTAAGCACTTATTGGCGTCATTTTTTATGGAACTGCCCAGATGCTGAGATTCTGAGCACTTGACGTCGCTGGGAAGGAGTTTAACCGTAGTCATGGGAGGAGAGGCCACAAGACTCGTCGATGTATGTCAAGCCTAAGGCTTGCCTTTGGGAAGCTCAACAGCCACCATTTGTACCTACGTAAGCGGTGACTATTTAGAGGATGCTCTGTGACGGAACAAGGTGTCATTTATCTCTTCCAGCGTCGTCTTGGAGCTTAGCGTCTGCACCCTTTTCTTTCCTCCCACTCCCTCTCATCCAGAGGGCTCCACTATCCTTCTCTCTCATTTTTATTCACTCCTACCCGCGTCCGTGATGAGCATAACCTCTCCACACGGATCCCCTTCTTAAGCAGCCTCAGGTGAAATGTGCACCGCCAGTGTCTCCGGACGCAGTACACATTTATATTGCGCCCAGGCTTTACCTATCGCCCTTGTTGTCAACATAGAACTCTCGCGTCTTCGAACTGGGTGCCGCGCTCCATCTAGCAACGGTGTTCCTAGAAACCTTACTGCTAATTTTTGTGTATGAGTTTACGCGTGGCCTTTCAGCCCTCATTTTGGCACCATCTGATGGACAGTACATCGATACTGGCTATCGCTTACAGGTAGTGAGATTTTCCATTGGCATGTCATTTCAGCCTTACATGGCTCCTCTGGCTAACTGTTTCGTGAAAGTAGTGCAGCGACTCGTCGTGGCAGCTTCCTGCGTCATCTTCTACATCCTCACGATGCATCTGTCGCTGGGGCACGGAGGTGAAACGGGCATGCTCGTGATTCTTGCATTCCTGGCGTGTCTTGAAAAGCTGTGCTCCATCATGAATCTTGTGTTTGTGGAAAAAGCCTGGGTACAACCGGCCGCCGCACCTCTCTTACATATCAGCATGACAAATACGAAGTGGTAGGTTGTCGTGTTAACACAAAGGGATGAAGCAGCCCTAAGAGCCATGAATGGGCAAATGCGCCCGATATATTTGCTCTACAAGTTGGTAGGTCCGTTGTTCAACACTATTATTGACGGCTTCTCCACCAAAGTTGCCATCACTGTCAACTTTGCTATGAAAATCGCACCGGTCGGTGTCGAATATTTTGCCATTGCCCGCGTCTACCGTGAAGTTCCTGAACTCCAAGAGTCTAAGAAGTGCTCACACGCAAACCAAGGAGACGCTAGCTCGTCACAAGAGTCCGGGAGCCGACTCCCGCATAACTGGCACCATGTCAGGGCTATCGTGACCAAATCTGCTCTGGACTTCAACCTGTACTTCCATCACCGTGCATTCCTTCCCTCAATAGCCGGCACTCTCCTGTACCTAACTGTCCTCAGCTTCGCTGGACTGATGCTCACGTATTCGCTCTCAGAGGGCAACAGCGCCACACGGGTCGGTATCTTGAAAACGCTGAGCATGGCGTCCGAAGTACTGGCAACATGGATAGTACCGTCCAACACTGATCACACTGCTTGAGATGACCTGTCATCTAGCTATCACAGATCATGCAACACCATCTGTGCGAATATCAAGCATGGGAATAATCCCAATATTGTCTATTCCTTCTCATCGTTATGCACGCATGAGTACAGGAAGAGTTTTATTATCAGTTCTCTTCCTAACAGTGTCACGCCATCTTGACAAACATGCGTGTCCTTCGCATTGGTAAGGAATGTGACACTGATGCAAGCCGTTCGAGGCTCAATACCATCTATGCAGGGATATTTGAATTAATGGAGTTAACCTGTTCCTATTGGACGAGACGTGTGGTGTAGTCGCATCTTGGGCGACTTTCTCAATTATGGAGAGCGGTCAGCTTCATCGAGCCCGTCGCGCTCTGGAGGGACTGACAACAAACCACGGCAGGATAACGATGATTCAAAGGACCAATGGCTTTATCGGCTGTTGGCGAGGTCGTTCAATACTCAGTCCAACAACCTGGTCAAGAAAACCATCAGTATCAAAGACGTTGACGGCTCGGGCGTGACGTGGCACTTGATATCTTACTTTCGACCTGCCGATGTTCTTGAAGGCCGGTTGCAAACCTCGTCGACGAGCTGCAGCTTTGTTCTGCCGGGCTGGTCTTCACCCAGATATTCCATACAATATGGCAGCGCATCCGTAGGTCAAAAAATCGGAGAGTGTCGCGCTTTGCCGACGGTGCCCCTATGGGACGAGTCACAGTCCATGGGCACCAAGTTCATCCAGTCTGGCCTGAACAAGGAGGCACTGGACATGACCAAACCAACGTCTGCCAGGGTCCGATTCTGGACCTTGGAATTGTTGACAGTGACGCCGCGTTCTGGCTGACTGATAGCGAGCTGTGCCTAAGTCAGTTCCCGCGGGACATCAGCGTTCTTGACAATGGCTATGTTGCCAATAGCTCCGTGTGGTCGCACCTCAATCCAATCTAAGGCAAAGACACGAGGTCTGGACAACTGGCAGGAGCATCGATGAACGTTAGAGTTGGGGAGAGAGGGAGGTCATACTGTACAACGTTAGGGCCGCACCCCGCCCCATCCATGCCATGTGATGATAGTTTCCGGTATAGAAGGGCTGCCTTTTACCTAGATAGAAGCATTTTGGAGAAGCATTTTCACCCCGCCTGGGGCAAACAATGGAGGATTTTCTTTTTACAGCGGGAAGTTCTCCCTGGCACCTACCGTACCTCAATATGGCCTCGACCTACTCTGTATGCCAGCAGAACGGTATTGACCAGTTTTATGAATAGTCTGGGATGAAACGGAGAAGACTCACTAACAGAACAACGTAGTCTAGATACGCATCTTTAATCCCGATGACCATGAACTCAAGTCCTACAAAGAACCTCTTGGCTGTAAGGACTTTGCTCTCAGCTTAACTCCACAAGATCTTTTCCTCCGCCGCTCCCAATCTACCGTGTCAGTAGATTGCTGTTACTATGGTAGTACTTGCCATGGACATAGCGTCTTGTCTTCCTCGCAAACAGTATCTGTATTTAACCTTATGTGCCCGCTGTTATGCCCTAGTCGTTGAACGGCGGACAAAGCCTCCAGTTCCACCGTCTCTACAATTGTACTTTCCCAACAACATCGTGAAGGCTGCCAGCCCAATCCTCGCAGCCTACTCGCTACGGTGCGCGCATTGGATCCCCACATCTTGTGACCCATAGGATTGATGTCTTGTACGACCTCATCAACGGATAGACTTTCCACCTCTTCACTGGGTAATAGAGAGAGGTGGTATAGGATGTCAGCGACAACTCGAGACACCTCTCGGAAGGACTGTGCAGACGAGTCAGAAAAAGACAACAAGCCATGGATCGAGGGGTATCGGTGGATTTACATGTTCTCCATTTTCGACAAAGTAATATCCGTCTGCACCCCAAGCAGCGCGTCCCCCGGCATGGCCAGCTTCCTCTATAAGAAGAAGGTATGCATCGGCGAGGTCGGCAATATGGACATTCCGCCACAAGTTTCTCCCCTGGTTGACCTGGAACACCTTACCTCGTGTTAGTGAGATACGAACGAGCTCGGGGATTTGCACGCAGCGCTGACGAAGAGGGCCTTCTCCCTTTCCGTACACCATGGGCGGGCATATGATCGCTGTCTTAACAGCATCTGTAAGATCAAACTGTTCCCCGCCTTCTCGCAATCTGCACGATGCTATGACAGCTTTGTCAACCACTCGATGCCAATGCGTATCCGGCCATGATGTGATCGTATGAATGTCCTCAATGTCGTCAAAGAGGTTGGGCGAAGGAGACCCGTAGCCGTTGGGGACGTCGTCAATAATGCCTGCCCCTGAGGTGTGGATGAAATAAACTGGTTGCGCTCGACGCCCACTGGTCTGAAGCGATGAGACGATCGTCGTTATAGCAGGTAGGTCATCCGATGTCGCACAGTCTGGGAAATGCTATTTAGCCCTGGGATGCGAATCATGTGAACTAGTGGACCAAAGTGGAAGTTCATGGTAGACGTACTGACTATGATATCGGCGGCCAGACACTGCTCGCGCAGCGTGTCGTGGGCGCCAAGGTCACCTAGGACGAGCGTGATAGTGGGAAAGGCCGCGAGGACGGCGTCGTACTGCGCCTGGTTGCGAACCATGGAGGTCACTCTCGCGTGGCGGTATTTCCGGAAGAGATGAAGAGCAACTTGTCCTCCAATGTAGCCTGTTATGCCGAGCCTGTATCTGGTTTTAGCTCCTTCTTCGACAGTGAGCCAGATGCACCCACAAGAAGATCTTCTTTGACTCCATCGTAATCAGATACCAACTCTGGCAGAGTCAATGATGGCGCATTCACAAACCGCTGAAGAACAAGATGCTGGGATGGGAGTAGCATCTCCAGTCTGATCGCGCCGGACAGATGAGCCGTTTTTATTTTCATTTTTTTGGCAGTCTTCCAAAACGAACCGTCAATTTGTCAGCCATCGCTTGGTGCGAACTGCCGCTCCACCAGGAGATCGCTGTTCCTCTGGATGCTTCAGCGTCACATTCAGGTGCCGGGATCTCGTTTATTCTCTTCGGGTACTCTGCGCTACAGCCTAGAATGAACTGATTCCAATCAGTGAACATTGCAGAACACCCTGAATGAACTAAATAGGCGCTTTGAGCAAATACGCCCTGAGAATTGAAGATATAGGAGAACAGCCGCGATCGTTGCTCTGGAGATGGCTGATAAGGGCTGCTGCCACTTGATGCTATGTTCAGGTCCAGGATTTTGTTGGTGGGAGTTTGATCTGAGGCGCCTGACTTCAGCCTCCCTTTCCCTCTGCATCCACCCAGTTTCAGTCCTGCTGCTCCTGACGGCTCGTTCTCTCCCATTGAAATCTCGCCATTGTACCAAAGCGTAGTGCGACAACTCTAGGCTCGGGGATGATGGTCTCAATGCAGGGCCCGTCGAGCTCGAGCCGCCAGTACAACATCAGCAATCGTCTGATTTCACAATACCAAGAAAGACTTAGGCGTTCGAACAATCTTTGTAGTGCCTCGAATGCCCCGTAAGGCTCTTGCAGAGCACTAGTGACCCCTTGAAGAATATAGACTGTCGTCCTGCCCCTAGCACTTGCAGGGGCCCGAGAGGGGACCAGGGTCATTGAGAATCACACACACGGCAAGGCAAACCATGGGGTTCCCCCCGAATAATGACACTAGTCCCGAGATGGCTAGTATTACGATGTCCAGTCCCACTCAACGAATGGTGAAAGATCCATTTCTTGGCACGCATTACAGTTCCGATGTCCTCCATCCATCCTGATATAGACGGGTTAGATTGCTGACGACCATTTTGTGGCTCTTATTTTGTGTCTCACAATCTAATGTGCGATCCACCTCAGTCTCCTCGAGAATCTGCTGCGGTATTAGCTAGAGAAAGAGATGACTCCGAGATGTCCCACTGCTGGAAGGCTGACATAGTGCCATGAACTACAATCACTAACACAGTCACTGTCGCTGATGTTCAATTACGGGAAAGCCACGTACCATGCCCACGTATGCCCATACCACAGAGTAGCCTTGAGCCCATCCAGATCCAGCTTCCTTGGCTGTCTGAGTCGACATTGGCTTGCGGTCAGATAGGCGCAGTGTGAGAGACATGCCCACCTTGTCAACGCTTTCTCGCATGCTTGCCCACGTCTCTCCGGTCTGCATGCTGTTCAACGCCCGTAGAGACGCGCAAAACCAGCCCTTGGAAGATTTATGATAACACCACCACCACTCGACAGGGATGGGAACTTCTACAATCCCTACTCATCCATGCACAGCCTTGACCTCGGGCTCTGTACACTATCTGATCTTGACCCCTGTCTACCTTAGCGGTTGTTCTGAAGCCACTAGTCAAGGTTCAGTAACTTCGTACGTTCCTAGTATGTCACCATTCAAACATTTTACGAAACTAGCCCTATAGTATCAAGAAGGCCTACAATGTCCTTGTAAGTGACACGCGTCCTAGATGCTATTTTGCTATTACCAAGGCTGATTGGCCGTTTTGTCTGCTGCAGCAATCAATCTCTCTCTGTGGATGTACGATATTTTCGCATTAACGCCGATGCGTTGAAGGATATTTCGTTTATGTCAGGTGTCTGGCTCGAACGCCGTGGCGACAATATAACCCTCTAGAGCCACAATTTTCCCTTGAGGAGAGAGAATTCGTCTTGCTTTCACTTCTCACGCTCCTCTCACACACTCTCCCAGAGATTATTAGCCAGTGGCTACATAGCTCTCAATAATTTCTATTTAACCCTCCATCATACCCATTGCTCGCTTTCGCCGGACTTACCTACACTTTCTCTCCTTCTGCGTCCCCGAGGTTTTGGGGCTTCAATTTACCCTTTTGCAAAATGCATCCTGAGAAGTCTTTATTCTGGCTTTTCTTACTTACAAATGTCTTACTGGTGCTTTGCGGCACTGGATCTGGCAATGGCGCAGGGAGCACCAAGGAGGTAGCGGCTCCAACAGTCTCCGGCTCTAAAACGGGTAGTATCATGATCATGTCCACATCAACAGAAACCAGTATCACATCCTCCGAAGCCACCGAAACAGCAGCTCCAGCTTCCGATAAAAACGACGATGAAACAAAGGGAGACACCCAATCAGGCTCAAGCAACGACACAGGTACATCTTCCCCACAAGGTGCCAAATCTGGTGGCGAAGAGACAACAACACCGATCGACCCCGTTGTGATTGTTCCCTTGTTTCTCCTTGCTGGATTTGCTGTGGTCCTTTTCATTGGGCAGCGCCTCTTAGACTATTCCCGAGCAGTTCGCCTTCGGAAAACTATCTGGGAAAACGCACCCAGGGTGGTGACGACGCCTTCAACAGCGGTGGCAATCTGGAAGAGAGTGTCCTATAGCCCTCTGTGGGGCAAACGTCGGAGCAGAGAATTTCGACCCTTCAAATGGCTTAATATGGGTACCCTGCCGACACGCCTAGAGTCCATTCTGATGATGTTGTATTTTGTCCTCAATATGATTTTCGCCCTTGCCACTGTGGACTGGTCTCAGGCAGAGCTGGGTATGAAGATGGACAATCTGCGAAATCACACGGGGACCCTGGCCACAGCTAACTTGATCCCTCTCGTTCTGACGGCTGGGAGGAATAACCCGCTTATTCCAATTCTTCATGTTCCGTTCGACACTTTCAACCTCATGCATCGCTTTCTGGGCCGACTCGTCGTCGTGGAAACTCTCTTGCACATTGCAGCGGTGTTGATTACAAAGGTTTCTTCATGTAAGTTGGCCATGTTGCACGCATCCCTGGCACTATTTCCCTCTGACCAATTACAGCGGGCTGGGGCGTTCTACCTCAAGAGTTGTGGGGCAAGGAGTTGGTCCTTTACGGCTTCATTGTAAGCAATTTTTGAGTTTTGCGTTAGTGATACTTCCTAACCCCTTTCAAGGCCGGTATCATGTTTGTTACTCTTACCATCCAAGCATGGTCCCCATTTAGGCATGCATTTTACGAATTCTTCCTCCATTTCCACATCCTTCTCAGCATCGGTGCGCTTATTACGCTTTGGTATCACCTTGCAGACCTTCAACAGCAATACTTGATGATTGGCGTGTTTCTTGCATGGGCACTGGAGGTGAGAATTATGTCCGTGGCTTGCTTCGGAAAGAATATTGATCTCTACGCAGCGTGCGACGCGGGTTGGAAATATTATCTGGCGGAATACCAGAGGTATTCCAACGAAAGTCGAGGTCGGAATCCTGCCAGCAGACACGATATGGTTGAGAGTCCGAACCCCACGATCGTGGAACATCAAGGCAGGCCAACACATCTATCTGTACATTCCTTCTATCGGCTTGTGGACCTCGCATCCGTTCTCCATTGCTTGGACGGATGATGAAGCTAGTGGGAAGCCAACAAGTCAAGTCAGGAGCATGATTTCAGCATGTACTCAGCCTCAAGAGCCCACACTATACCTTCTCATCAAATGCCACAACGGATTTACACGAAGAATGTGGAAGAAAGCCGCTCGTGCAAAGAGTGGGACGTTTTCCGCAGTAGCTTTTGCAGAAGGCCCTTACGGTGAGTGGAAAATGAATATCATAATCAGTGGCGTCCTCCTCCTAGATAAATGCTGACACATCGAATGCTGAAGGGGGCCTTGAATCTCTGTCGTCGTTCCGAAGTGTCATCCTGGTTGCTGGGGGAGTTGGAATCACTCATCAGCTTCTTTACCTTCGAGAACTGATTGAGGGATATCACAACAGAGCTGCGGCTATTCGTCGAGTCACCCTGGTATGGTCGATCAGGACACTTGGTAGGTTGAAGATTCGATATTCCCAAAATACTTTTGTTCGAATGTTCACTTTGGCTCGAGTTTCTCCTGATTGTTCCGCAGACCAAGTTGAATCCGTCCAACCTTTTCTACAAGCTCTTCTCACTCAGCACGCACAATGCACACGACGCGAGAATCCGTTGTCAGTGTCCATCCTCATTTTTGCTTCCCTGACGCACCTACAGAAGTCAGTGAGCACCTCGACCTATCAGCGTGGTTCACCTTACTCCAAAATCCATCGCCCTCGAGCGTCTGTCTTCTCCACAGCGTCTACAACGCCCATGATGAGCGATGGCCATGCCTCCCCTCGCATTGGGAACGAGACAACTCCTGAGGCAATGGATTATGTCCCGTTTACCGGAATGCACGATTCTGCGTCGGTCGAGGTCTTTAACCACCGAGCCAACATCTACGCTCTTCTAAACAATGAGATTGGAAGACAGATTGGTGCCATGTACGTAAGCGTTTGTGGGCCTGGAGGACTAGCGGACGATGTCCGAGATGCAGTCAGAGAGCATTTGAAAACAGGTGATACTGATTTGGAGTTTTACGAAGAGAGCTTCAGCTGGTAGACAGTGGACGAAAACTGCAAGGTGGTTGTTAGACTATGGGTGATTTGGAGTCGTGGCGGGCATAGATCTTGGAATTTTCTCGCCTCTGACTAGCTTGGAGCAGAAGACTGTCCTCGACGCGACAGGGGGGCCAACCTGCTTCATGCCAATAGCCGATTGAAACCTGTAAGATTGGAAGAGATGCATTGTAACAAGGATCCGCCGGAACCAAGGTACCTTTTGGGGCATGATACAATTACTTAGTCCCTGACGCTCCAAGCTCTTTCGGCGTGATATAAATGCTGGAGCCTGCCGTATCATGACAGGGACGAACCCAAGAAAATGGGGGAAGCTAGTACCTGGGCACATCGGGTAGTACTAGAGGGTACGAAGACATTAGAGTTGCATTGCAGAAGATTCCAACCGAAGAATCTGCTGATAGTCCTGGCCACTTGGTAATACGGAGCAAGGACCATAAGCCTATTACGCGTTTCCCCCGTTCGATTTCTTTACCCAAGCCGCCCTCCTTCACCTCCCAGTTCAATTGTTTACTGACTGTTGTTGAGTCAAACGAACTCGCTGTTACTGCTGTACTTGGATCCGTTTCTGCCTTCGGCGATCGAAGTTGTTTGCATCTGTGTGTAAATGCGTCTCCAAGCTTCGACTACCTAGAACTTCTGTCTACAGACACATAGGAAAAGATGGAACCTCTGGCTTCTACGAATTGCTTACTTTTACCTGTCTCCTGCAAACCGCTACTTCTCGCTCTTTTAGGAGTCCTAATACAGTCGGCACTAGTAGGTGCAACAGGACCAATTTCAATTGGAGCGAGTACGGAGTTCTTCGGATATGATGGATTGTGGTCGACTGTGAATGTCATGATCGGATCCAACCTACAATCGCTTTCCCTCCTTCCGAGTACATCGACCCAAGAGACCTTGGTGTTAGGCCCGGATGGATGTGTCGAGGCCACATGTGAATCCAAACGAGGAGGTTTATTCTTTGCCAATGAGTCTTCCACCTTCGAGGAACGAGGTCTTCATGAAACCAAGAACGGTGTGCTGCTTCTTGGGTCTGGCTACGCTTACTACGGCTTGGACTCCGTGTACTTTGACAGCGCTCTATCAGCCAGCCGTCAACTCATTGGTGTAGTTAACTCAACCGACTGGTGGCTTGGGAGCTTGGGACTGGGTTTGGAGTTGAGCACAATGGACAACGACACAGATGGTTATGTGCCATTTCTGTCCAGCCTCGTGCAGGACAATGCCATGATACCAAGCCACAGCTATGGTTACACAGCCGGCGCAATTTACCGTATGTGAAATTTGTTTGGAGGAGGAAAACCAAGACTAACATTGTGAAGGGTTGAACGGAGTGCCTGCTTCATTAACTCTGGGAGGTATTGATACCAATCGATTCATTCCCAACAACCTGACATTCAGTTTGAGCTCAAGGTCCGCACCCGTTGTGTTTCTCAATTCGATATCCGTCTCGTCTGACGCAGACGACGGCGGGCATCCCTCAAACTGGAGGTCCTATTCTACAACGTTGCTGGAATCCTCTGACGCCGATTTGTTCGCCATCGACTCCTCAACTCCGTTTTTGTGGCTGCCAGGCTCAGCACGCGACGCATTCGCAAAGGCCTTGAATTTGACATACAACAAAACCATCGGACTGTACGAATACCCTGACTCTGTCACGTCTCCAGAAACCCTTTCAGCCTGGAACTTGACTTTTTCTTTTGTGGTCAGCAGTTCTGCTGGCGCTCCCAGCAACCTTACGCTGACTTTGCCCTACGATGCATTCAATCTCCAGTTCTCTTATCCATTTCCCAACGGGAATGCCGGCAAGTCTTCCGCACGAATCAATTATTTCCCTGTACGAAAAGCCACAGACTCAACGTTCTATACACTCGGTCGTGCTTTTCTACAAGAAGTCTACCTCGCGGTTGATTACGAACGGCACCGGTTTTCTCTTTCACAGGCTGTATTTCGGGCAGACGCCAACGAAAACTTGAACCTTTTGTCCATAACCCGACCAGAAAACAGCTTGTGGCCTGGACCAGGCCCTACCGCGGAAAGCAGGCTCTCCACTGGCGAAAAAGTAGGAATTGGGATAGGAGGAGTGACCGGGATTTTGTGCGGGTTATTTGCAATCATAGTCATTGCAAGAAGGCAAAAGACCAAAAAGGTGGCGACAGACAGTTCAAACACGGACGTCAGGTTCAGTACGACAAATTCGGGATCGTCCGTCTTGGAGCTCGTTGGCGACAGGACCTACGCAGCAGAGGCATTGTCAGATTCCACGGTGTCCAGATTTGAGCTTCCAACCAGCTCATCAATTGAGATGCCAGCGGGTGATGTGCCATCCAAATTTCTCCAAGGGTCTGGTCTGATGATTAGCCGGATTCCGGACACATTGAACAGCGACGCGGAACAGGCTCAGCCTGGTCTATGGAGCACTGAAATCTTGGGCCCGGAGGATGACAGTATCAAAGCGATGGAGGCCTCTGCGGCTTTTGGTTCCAGGTGATCTTAATGTCTTCACAGTTATCAGACGACAGGTCGCGAGCTCCGAGGAAGTTTGTCACCTCCGAGTGGCCCTTAACGTTATATTCGCTTCTGCCATCGTGGCGCATATGGCAAGACAGCATGAACAAATAGATTAGTTTCGAAATGGCTTCTCTATCTCATTGCATCCGCGTTTTGTTGCCGTCCCTTACTGACTCTGTCTTTGTCCTCTCAGGCTCGAGTCACGACCATGTCCAGACTCTCCTCATCACCTTAGGAATGCTGCCACCGCCTTAGACTTTCGACCGTGAGAATAGGGAGACTGATTTTTAGTTGATCCATGTCTCTGCCCTCAAACTTGTCGGCACGTGCTCATCTAAGGTCCTGGAAGATGGAATCGGTTACTCGGACATGGTCAGGTAAAGTCCAGCTCAGCCTCCAGACTTTCTTGACTGGACGTCGAGGACGACAGCTGTCCAGTAGAAATTTCTCCGCCACCGTCCACAATGAGTAGGTAATTTTCCATGTCCTCAGAGTATCCGTTCAATTTACCATAATCTTTAGCGCCAGAGTGTTGAAGGCAGAGGCCATATTCAGCGGCTGCGGCTAACACGTCCCACCGTTTTAATTCAAATTACTGGAGATAGAGATTCTATTCGGCATCTCCCATTCCTCCTGCTCCATAATGGAATTGAAAGAAGGGGTGCGCGGGAATGTGCTTACGAATCTACCAGGCCTGGTGAACATTAGCATAGTTCTCTCCATTTTCGGGATAGATATACGAAGTTTTAGGGGCCAGCGGGAAGTAAAACGTGAGACTGAATTCCGCTCCTCTGGTTACAGAACTGGGTACAACCACGATAGGAATGGCCATGCACTGGTGGATATGCATATTTAGTGTCAAGCAAAACACCCCCCATGTCTTGAAACGAGTCGTGAGGGATCAAAGGTTATCTCGTAACCAAAACAGCTGGATACGAACATGGAGATAATGATCGTGGGTGGAATTGGCGGAGACAAATGTGTGTGTAACCCCCCAGAGAGAGGGCTATGTCGGGTATACGTACACTGTCACTACAATCAAACCCCAAGCAAGCGTTTCCGTAAGGTCTCTGCGTTCCTGGTTGATCTATTCTGGGGATTCCCACCTCAACGTTTTGCTATTCTCAACCCAGCGCCAAGGCTCTGATGCGTGTCAGCCAAATTATCGGATCTCGTGCTTGCGTAGGTGTTTCATGCTTTAATCTCGCGCTTTTGCATTGTTTGATCCTACCAGCCGTTCTTGAGGTAGGTGTATGGAGCGCACTGTTGGATATTTTGCGGACCCACAAATTGGGGGCCTGAAAGAGGGCCTTATTGGCCATCCTTTGGACACATCGTAATACTAACTACATACAGCCCTGCCCACCGCCTGCAGATGGCATCGGAAAGGAACTGGGTTTCATTCTCGCAGAGGTTTTCCGCTTATTACACTTTCAACACGTAGTTCTTTCAGGTCTCTATAATTCCGTTGTAGGAGTAGGGTCCGACTATCTCGTATATCCGCCTGATCCTGTCTATCTTTAGGTCTATGAGGCCAGAGACCTGGCGTCTCCTGATCCACACAGCCAAATGGATGAGTTACACTGTCAATCTGACACTCTTATTATAGAGGGAGTCAACAGCCACGAATGATATATAAACCCCAGATGCCCTTGAATGTCCTTCCACCTTTCACCTGCAACAAACTCGAAGACAATCGGGAGATTTCTTAGGTGTACTTGGCTTTCATTTCATTCACTTCTAGTCTCTCGTTAGCCGCTATTTTGCAACCATGCGTCCAATTCTTGTCGCTTCTCTTCTCATCCTTCTCGGGGTCACCAATGGAGCCGCCATCTCCTACCCGCATTCTGGCTCTCTTTTGCGCCGCACCGTTGGAACCGGCGATACCGTCTGGACAGATGTTTTCGCCAAGCCGGAGAAGAAAGACGACCACGACGACAAAGAAATCGAGTACGAGGGAGCGCCGGTACAGGTGAAGAAGGAGAGTCAGTGGAAACGAGCTGACATTCTTCCATTCCCCAAGGACGAAAAGAAGGCGGAGGAAAAGAAGAAAGAATGGAAGCGCGCGGATATCATCCCTCCTAAGAAAGTTGAGAAGGAGGAGGAAAAGAAGAAAGAATGGAAGCGGGCCGACATCATCCCTCCCAAGAAGGACGACAAATATGAACCACAGCCCGAGTCAACCAAGAAGGACGAACTATTTGAAATTTCTCCCGAACCTGTCAAGAAGGAATGGAAGCGCGCCGATATTGTCCCGCCGAAGAAGGATGACAAACATGAGCCCGTGGTTGCGCTTGAGCCAACCAAGAAACATGAATAGTTTGTGAGCTGAGGCAATCCAGAGGCACTGGATGGAAGATTGGGCACAATTGTCAAAGGCCAGATGGTTCGTTCTCCTGAGTCTGGCAAGAACGTGGGAGCACCGAAAGCCCATGAGCATGTCTTTCGCGCTGCAATCTTCCCCTGGGATGAGCTTCAAAGTTGGATCATGGGAAGGTCGATCATCGACATCTATGGTTTGGGTTTCGGACATTGTATTGTTTCCTATCTGAGATTTTCTGTTACGCATGGTGTGGGATGGGGTTGGAATACGGTAGCCCGAGCGCCTCGATGGTGATCGACGATGAGGCCATCGGGTGCCAGCGCCGTGGGACAGTCTCTGACCGACTCGTGCTGTAACGTCCACTCGTTTAGCAGCCGTCTCTTTTGGGGACAAAGTAGGTAGAAATTTGATGCAACTTTGTATCAGCCCGTGTCTCCTTGGCGTTGGCCTTCTACGTGAATTGGTTTTCTTTAGGGCTGTCGACTGAACATTGGCACGAGGGTATATGGTAGCCCTGCTGTATGGGCTCCCTCGGCGGACCTGGGTCGTTCTCTCCAGAGAAGAATCCACCCGACCCCGTGGGGGCGGGCCGCCGAGTCCTGATTGTACTCTTACTGGATCATTTTGATCAGGCGGCTACGAATGAATGCGAGGCGACAGAGTGCCAGGGGTGGTCTTTCCAATACTTTCTGCCATTTGTTCTGTTAACATGGTTTATCCCGCAGGTGTGTTAGGATTTCCACTCTGCGTTTCTAGATCATAACATCGGCTGACAGCCGGGCAAATTAGTCTGAACTCTACCATACCGGCGACCCGACCACGTCGCAGAACCTCGAAAATAAGCCATAGTAGTCCTGGTCGCCGCTCGACCTTCCTAACGCCATAAACATGCTCCCCCGTGGTTCATGCCGCTGGTGCTTTGGTCCCTTGCTCATCTCGACGATTGTTTTCAGGGACCGCGGGTCCCACTTTCCTCCTCGCGATCTCGTCTCGATGAGGATCTTGCGTGCCCTCGACTTCTGCTGAAGATCCGTGGAATGGACGTATGCAAGGTAGATCGGACCGAGGATACTGGACTCAACCGTGAGGTCTAGAGTGGAGAGGACTTCGTGTCTCCCAGTGTTCATGGCCTCGTGCAGCAATTCAGCAAAGTGTATCATCCCGCCTAAAATTACGTCGCGGAAGAAGGGGGTGTCCCGGACATCAATATTGTCGCGTAGATCCATCAACTCGATCACCGCCTGCATGGACTTGATGATCACCATGTCTAAACATGCACTGGCATACTCGCGTGAGCCGCTTTCCGGAGCGTGCTTGCTCATGAGGAAGAGCATGTATCTTTGGCTCACCAGATGAGACCTCTGCCGGAGACTTTCGTGCTCCCGCTTGATTCTTGGTTGAGTCCAAACTGATGAGGTGACAGCCTGCGGGCCATTGATTTCCCAGTCCAAGGCCATCACATCGCTGTTCAGTTCCACCCTGGCTTGATACCCTTCGAACAGGGTCTTGAATCCTTCAGGGAGCGTTTCGCTGTCACCATAAGAACTTGTCTTGGACCGTAGCCGAGTCGCGAGTGTCAGAGGCGCGTCATGTGAATAGAGCCGCTCACAAATCTCTGCATGGCGAAAATAGTTGATTACACCCCGCATCTCCGCGTCCGAAAGCAGGGAGATCCGGCCTTGTTCGCATCGCTCGAGAGCCTGCTTCCCGTCTGGATAAAAAAGCTGTTGGAGATTAACGGTAGTATCTATGATGTAAATTCCATTTCTGAGATGAGCCCTCGCGTTCTTGTGATTGAGACGTAGATTCTCAAGACAGATAAAGATGAGACAGCAGATCAGCGCCACATAGGCACTTTCGGGTGCTTGAGAAGCGATGCGACATTGTAGTTCGGAGAGAGCCTTGCCGTATCGGCGCAAAATGAATGTGTCTTGTGTGTCCATGCCACGTCCTCCAGTCGTTTTGTGCAGATGGTATGTAGCTCCTAGTGCCACGAGTGCATATTTGATGGCATCATCATGATGGCCGAGCTGAGGTGCAACCCGATTCCAAAAGGGCAGAAAGTCGCATACGTGCAAGGCTCCGCTGACTTCGGTGGCAGATCTGAAAGTTTGGAAAAAGCAGCGATCCTCGTCTGCGCCGTGGAACCCGTCTGATATCCTTGCGAGACAAAGAGTCTCACAAAGCGAACCGTTGACTGTAGAGTTGGGTGCATCCGAGGGGTTGTCAGCATGGAATTATTCCTGTGGATCGGGGAGTTGATACAGATTCGCACAGGAGCAGAGTATCCCTCACAAACTCGTCCCGAAGTAGTACACCTCGCGCACGCTGGCTTTTTCTCATCGCATTTGACCCTTCTAGTCCTTTACGCATTGAAGCGTTAGCGAGGTGATCGGATACCCGAAGCCAAAACATACTTGCTTTCATTCTGTCAGTTTGATCTTCGTTTCCGCTGGGGCGATGATGGTTCGTACCAAGTGACGCATCCAGTTCTAACTTTTGGTCTGCTTTTTCTTGTTCGTACCTGAGGTGTTGGACTACACGTTGCGTCTCGCCTCGGCCTCATTGCAAATATTCGAACGGGCGAACAGTTGTGGAGGGAGCGTTGCCCAATATGTATCTCGATCAACCGCCTCGATTGACGTCCATAGGGATACAAGAACAATCACCACTGCCGCGACCAATTCAAACGCAATGATGAATGCCAAAGCATGGTTCGGACTTCAGCGCAGACTTGTCAAGGACACTCCATATTCACACCTGTTTCTGTGTGCCCAACTGTAGCTGCTGAGGTGCTACACTTAGAGGGAAGGAATCTGTAGCGATACGGAACATCTGCAGTCCGTCTGGGGGCATGTAATGGCCCCCATGTGGCATCGTGAAACGTGTGGCTCATGGACTTGTCGACGTAAGCTTCTCTTCTTAGCTCCTAACGGAATCAGCCTTCCTCAAAAGCGGCTTGACATCTTGGCGCCAAGCATGCGCCCTTGTAAATATCGTAGCTTCATGGATTTCTCACGCCCTGCTAGGGACATAGGCGTGGCGTGGAGTGCCGACGTCGGAATACTTGTGGTTTCTTGAATCGTCTGTTCGAGCAGATGTCGATCGCCTAGCGACTCTGCTTCTGGCAAAAGAACTGGACCCTCTCCCCGACCCAGTGATTGGACCTGGAAAGGATCCAGTTGGCGGCCTCAAGGTTGCGCAGGCATCAAAATCAGTCACTTCCCCGGATTACATTGATTGGATCCCCTTTCTCTCCGCGGACTTTTCACTTTAAAGGGGCATCAGTTGTGCCTAATCGCTCCAGTGTATACTGCAAATGCCTGCAGCCGCACCCCTCGTTTTGTCAGCAGAACGCAACTCGGGTTAGCCGGTTTGCAGTCAGGCCTTACGGTCGATTGACCTTGCATATGGCATTTTACCAAAGACTGATGAAATGGCCTACGAGCACTACGTACGACTACGTACGTAGAGCGGTGTTTATGTTTTATTTCTCATGACCTCTCCCAAGTTGGATCCCAGATCACATGCCATTGAGGTGCCGCCTAGTAGGCCGCCACCTAGTACTAGGCTGTATGGAGGCAGCTACAGCAACGCTGTATCTGCTTCCAGAGACAGTCTGAATATCATCACACTTGTACTTCCAGTTCAGGGCTTCAACTTCCCAAGGGATATGCAGGCTACCACTACTAGAGTTATCCTTCAGTCTCCGTGCGACTATGTATTTCTGAGATCCACGAGCCAAGACCAAGATCCATGAGATTAGCCCTGAAGAAAAGATCGTGACAAGGAAATACAGGGAGTCCATCAAGGCAGAAGAGCAAAGACGAGACAAGAGAAGAAACAGTCAAAGGAAATGGCCTTTTTCTTTCTTTTTGACTTGCGACTGATGATCCAAAAGGGAAAGATCCAAGCTCAAAGTCGTCAAAGACTCTGTACAATAAGATGGCTCATCACGCATGAAGCGTTCGGGACACGTGAAGCTTGTTTCTGTCAGCCATCACAGGGAACCCACGTCGACGCATAGACAACGACAACGACAGCCGCCCCAAAGGGGGAGAACGGTCCGGTCGCCAGCACCGAGTACCCTCTCAGCCCCGAGCAAACACCAACGCAAGCAACATTGTCTGCTGCCGCGACCACTACCAGGATGATTGGTAGACTCGATTGACCCGGTCGCCCACAGCAGCACGGTGGATCAGAAAATCTCCGAGCAACTCTCGCACCAAACGGCTCGACTGTCGAGCCGCGCTCGAGCCGGGCACCGGGATAGATCACCGCCTTCGCCCCAATCATCACCTCCGACGTGATGAATGCGGGGTTCGCTATTTACCCGCCGCCCGTGCTCTTGTGGCTCACTACATGTCCTTTTTATAGTCGGTGGTCAAAATAGTCACTCCGGGTCCGATGGTCGTGTGAGGACCCACTTCCACACCTCCCGCGTCGTCATTGGCACAGTCCTTGCCGACGTACACGTCGTCCAGCAGCTTGATGTTGTATCCGTACGTGCAGCTGGAGGGCGCCTCGATCTTCACCCCGTGGCCCAACTGGCCCTTCTCTTGAAAGTGCGACATGAACTTGTGGGTCGCGTCCCGACTCGGATCAAACACCTTGAGAAGAATGTTGCGCCCTTCCCCTTTGTTGATTCCGCTGTCGAGCTTGCATGCCGAGTTGTAACGTTCGAGGGTCCGTTCACTTTCATGGCAGCCTTCGCATCATCTCGGTCCATCAGACCCGACTTGACGTGGAGGCTGACTCTGACTGACGGCGAGAAGTTCTTGTAAGGCTGAGAGAGCAGCTCGCCCCATGACTGATTCGAACTGCCGGAGCTTTGGCGAAAATACACCCAGATGTCCTTCAGGCGAGAACTGATCTCTTTGTCGCCGGCCGAATGGATCGGGTAGGCGCTCTTTCGGCCATGGTAGTAAGGCCGCGAGGTGCGTGAGAGGAATGTGTTTGCGCAGGCGTTGGCAAGTGAATTTTTGGCCCTGTTCCACCCCTGCATTTCTACCATCATGTGTCGGATGAGATAAGTATCGGGTGGACTGTCGCTATAGTAGATCCTGTTGTTCTTCTCGAACAATTCCCTGATACGATCTCCAAGTCAGTTCCCAGGCCCTCTGGACCAACCAGTAACGACAGCGTCTACGTCTGAGCTCCGTAAGATCAGATGCGCTTTCACGACGATGGTCACTGGCGCGAAATCGACTTGCCAAGTTTCCGGTACGAGGGGATCGGAAGCGATTAGTTTGTCTAAGATGTTTCGTAAGTTGGCGAGCGGTACATCGAGGTGAGTGAAGATTCCTGATTCCGCCTGGGCCGTCATTGTGTCGGTGTATCGTGCTGGCGAGGGGTGAGGTCGAGAATGTGGACATCCGGGCCATGTTGGGCTCCTTTATCTTCCTGGACAATGCTCAGGCTTCAGCGCTTCTGCTCCGTCGGCGACGAAAAGTTCCGCATGTGCATATATAAATCACCTTCTCCTTGCAGAATCCGACAACATTATGGACACTTGAGACCGCCACCGCCTTCTGGATCTCGTGAAGCGATATGATGTCCCTCAGGGTGGCATCTTGGTGCAAATCTGGCAAAAAGACTGATAGGCGAGCCAGACTCTCTTTCGCTGATGATATCGTATCAAGGAAAATGTGGAAATTCGCCGAGCTCACAGCGTTCGTTTGAGTGCTGGAAAGCGTGAAAGGGGGCACTTCTTCAGGGGTTAAAGTCGAGATTGGTGGAATGCTGTCAAAGTGGCGCACTACCAAAAGGGCCAGATTGGGCGCAAGGCGTGTCGCTCAGGGAGTTCTCAGTGATGTTCAAGCTACTTGGTAGAGGCTCAGCCGAAGCTCGGGTTAAAGCCGCGTTCGCTTGCCCTCTAGGATCAGACCGTATGCGGCAATGAGGTTTTTAATTCGCGAGTAGCAGAGCGACAGATGTAGTCCCACTTCGTTCACCAGTATCTCGCAACTTCCATCCCTGCAAGGTGAGGGGGTTCCAGGGAAAAGAAAAGAGAGAAGAAGCGCCAACTGGATTCTTCTCCTTGTCATTTTACGTCTTCAGTCTCGAGTCTCGACCAAACAGAATCCCCGAGAAGTACTTGGTAAGTCTTGACAAGAGTGTGTGAGAGATTCACAAAGGGAGGAATAAAGCATCGTCTCCATGCTATTGGTATCGTTCATCTTCTTGATTCCTGTCCATATCCCTATCCGTGTCGATAGCCCTGCATGTCGCCTATCTTTATCCTCCGCATCCTCATCTTATGCTGTACTATAGTAATCAGAAACTCCAAGCTAAAAAAGAAGATATCTATACAAAGAAAAAAATAAAAAAATAAAAACAAAAATTAGAACAGGCGGCAAGCAAGGCATATCACGCCATGCATTCTAACCGCACACTCACACCTATTTACGTACGAACGCGCGAACTATAGTGAAACCCAACGGTCAAGCCGGCACGAGAAACCTAGTCAGTTACATGAAGCAGGCAGGCAGGTCTTGCACAGAGTGTTTTCCCCCCTTCCTCGTTGAATCCACCGTCGCAACCATAATCCCATTGCTCGTATCGGGAAAAAAGAGAAAATGTCTAAAGTCGGGGTTCTCTTCCAATCATTTCGGTGAGTCCCCTTAGTATGCCATCCCAAGAGCATGCCTCCCATATGTCCAAATTCCCGCGTAATATGAACGTTTTGTCTGGGTCTTGACTGCATAGCCTTTTTCATTTCTCTCTGTCGCGGGATAAGTGGCCAGCCAGTCACTCAATCAATCAGTCGAAATCCTAGCTCAACCGGTTCAACACTTTTTTGCCCAGCATCAACACACTCTTCCTTTTGTTGGTTTCGGCGTCACTGTCCACGCCCACTCCGCCAGCACCTGTAACACTTCCAGCCGTCCCTTCCTCACTTCCACCACCATCTCTGTCCTTGTCCTTGGCGCTAGGAGAATGACTGCCATGGCTATCACTCCTCTCGCGATGCGAATGACTTTCGCTCTTGATCAACGAAAGCCCACTGAAATGAACCCTCCCTTTCACGGTGTCTCCAGAGAAGTGTCTCCCAATCGTATCTTTCAGGAGGCTTCTGGTCGGACCTTGTGGTGACGAAGGTGAGTTGTTTGGGCTGTTAAGATTTGGACTGGAGTCTGCAGCGGGACTGGCGTGTGCAGTCCGTGGTCGTGAAAAGAACGAGGATGTGCTGCCGATGATTCCATTTCCGCCAACGCCTCCTCCGCTAGCAGTGCCGGGTACTGAACGTGGTGTGGCCGCTGAGAGAGTCCCGCCACCGCCACTTGTTCCAATGCTTGGTAGGTTGATACTTGACGACCACGAACCGCTTCGTAGGAGCGGGCTGGGCCCGGGGAATGTGCCTCCTTTATGATGCCCATTCGTTCCAGGCGGCGATTGAAACGAAATACCCGAGGACTCATAATCATCATCCCTCCCGTCCTGCGAAAAACTATACAAACTTGTTGTCTCTGACGTCCCCGAAAGTTGAAGGTTAATATCCGAGCTCGCAATGGTGCTTGAATGCGCAATCTCCTTGAGTCGTTCAACCTGCTTCTTACTGGGCCTGTGATGCGAGAATTTGTTCCCGATAATCGCCCCGGTGTGGCTAATCAAAGCCCTTATCACATCCTTCTTCAACCTGAGTGCAAGGTCAAGGTTTGACCACGTCTTGTTCCGGTATTCGAGCGTCGGCATGCGGAATACAAAGTCGTGGAGATCCTCGAAATTGCGGTCGGATTTACCCTTATAGGAGAGGCAAACTACAAAGCTGTTGAGTTTCACGTGCGCCAGTGTCATGTAGTTGGACGCACGGGACATCATCTGGGAGAGGTCGTCGTTGGGTGTGCCGTTCTTGTCCTTTTTGTCTTTCTTCCCCGTAAGGCTGCGATCTTTGCTGGATGGCCGGTGCATTGGGAAGCGTTTTTTCTCTGTTCCTCCGTCGCTGGAGCCGAGGGCCACAAGGCTTGTGGAGGATGCGTCATGCTTCTTTGCTGATCTCAAACTGGTTGAGGATCCTTTGCGTGTGGGTTCCTTCAGGACCGAGCGAGCCTCGGACTTGTTGAAGTGCTTGAAGAACTTGTGGTGATCCCCCGATATCCCAAGACCTTTGTTCTTGGTGTAGGAAGAAAACGACGAGTCTTTGCGTTTCTCCTCATAATCGAGGCCGTACGTGGGTTTCAGCCTTCTCGCCACTGCACCTGGTGAAGTGTTGCGAGTTTTGTCTGGGCTCGGGGTCTGAAGGTCCTGCTCCGACATTAGCGCACTGTGCGCTTCCACGAATTCTTGGTCGTCCCCATCATCCGTGGGCTCCATATTCTTAACCATGAGTGGCGAGAAGTTGCCGTTCTCGAAGGCGTTCGATCCCACGCCAGGGAAGATGTATTCAAAGAGCTTTTTGCCAAGTTCACGTTCGAGCTGGACTTTTAACGGAAACACGGTCACCTGGAAGCGTTCCAGTACGGGGATGCCGGCAATGGCTTCCAGCATGTACCAGTGGACCTGAAGCATCTTCTGATGAGATTCCACGGTGCTAGGTCGCCTATCTTTGTCCGACGATTCGTAGTAGGGTCCAATGATTTCCGGATACAGTGCATTGGAAAGGAGATTCCAGCCTCTGATGTGTTCCACTTCCAATGCGTTGTGATTAGACCCGTCAGTGTTGTCGATTCGCTCGTATGCAGCACTCCCAAGTTGAAACTCTAGGAGTGGCTCATCCTTTTCCCGCATAAGGTGCCATACAATTTCAGAAGCACTTAGGTACCATCGTAGAAGACCGCTTGATTGGGAAGCTTTCCGATCCTCGCTCTTCTGTTGAGACGTATTGATGGCTTTCATAATGAAGAACAATTCATCCTCGCAGCTTGCCAGGTCTTTCTCAAGGTTGATTCGATCTTGCCAGCCTTGCTTGTCGAGGTACTTGGCATGGATCTGGAAATGAAGTTTGATGTCTTCGAGCTGCCGGATCCTTTCTTGGAGGCTTTCGGCCATTTCGGGAGCTCCTCGAAGGTCACTGAAATCAGACGCAAGCATGATCTTCTCCAACCGTTCGCTTCGCGTCTTCTCCAAAGGTTCACTGTATAGCAACAGGTCCAAGACGATTATATACATCGCGTAATATTGGGTGGAATCGCATCGAACACGGATCCGCGGGAAGTCGACCCACAGCTGATCAATCCGGTGCTCTCTGCGTGCTGCATCATTTGGCTCTCCGTTTTCGTTGCTCTCAACCTCCTCGTTGTATTTCAACCGAAGGGGGTTGTACTTTTCGTACCGGAGACTCGCAGAAGTTTTCTGGATCACTCGTTGGAAACCGAAAGGTTCCAGATGGAAGTCGAACATTGCTTCAAGAGAAACCCAGGGCGGCCACGATGATCCAGGAGTGTTGCCATACCTGTTACCGGAGTAGAGATGGAGATATCTGGCCAATGTCTTTTGGGTAGCCACGAAGAACTGTGCCCCGTCCATATCAAGTGCAAACCGACGCTGGACAAGCCCGCTGACATCGTCCGACATGCGAGCTTTGTCCATGATGGATACAACTTTCAGCTGCATTCCCTTTGCTGAGATGAGCACGATAGCCTTCGTGTTTTTCTCACTCTGCAGTTGTATCTGGGGAGCGATCAGGCGCAGGTGATAGCTGTTCATCGCCTGGAAGTTCTCCGCAATCTTGTCACCAAGGTCGGCAGTTGAGGGTCTCCGTTCGATATCGTCATTGTCGGCCACAGGCACCTTCTGATCTTCCTCCACCTCTCCTTCCACATGGACAAATCGTTTCGCATCATTCAAAAGCTGCTTGATCCGGTCTTCTATCACAGAATCTTCATCTTTCTCCTCACTGGGCGAGATGATACTAGGTGTTGGCGGAACTGGTTGCTGGTTCTTCCTCTCTTGTCTGCGGCGCTCTTCCTTTGCCTTCGCCTGCTCATCCACAATGTCGAGGATAAATTTGACGGCACGGCGTGACATGTAGTATACAAAACCTCGGCGTTGACTAACTTGATGGCTGTAACGAAGGATGATGTTTCTCAGGGAGTTGTTCCATTTTAGCTGAACATTATGGATGATGAAGCGGTTGTTGAAATCACTCGCAAATTCGTCGTGAGGAGCCGAATACAACCCGTCCATATCCATCTGAGGGGTTCCAGGACTCTGCCCCTCTAAGTCAGGGGTAGACTTGGTCACGTCTACGTTGGGTTGCGGATTATTGTCGATTTGCTGGGCATCTCCCGGGTTTGCGTGGCCTATGAGGCGGCGGAGTCCATGTTGTAAGAACCTTCGTTTGCTCTCTAACTCCTTCTGTTGTGCAACAAGCAGCACGTGCTTATCTCGGACAGCTTGGTCGTGGTCCCCTTCCTTGACCAGAAGCAGCTCATGCTCGTTCATGATGCGCACGTGAGTTTGGAGTCTATCTTCAAGATCGTGCAGCCGAGTTTCGATTAGATTCATCTGCACCTTTCTTGGATCATTGTCACGGCCCATTACGCAGAAGTGGGTGTCTTCATCGCCGAACGGACTCGTACGGGACTCATCTCCCTGTATGGCACCTCCATGATCGGTCTGTCGGAAGTAGGTGAAACGCGGGGTGAAAGCCAATGGCAAGATCTTGGTTTCCGGGTTGGACTCCGCTGGCAACACCCAATCCAATTCCACAAAGTCGTCCATATCAATCCAAGACAAGTCCTGATCTGGGATAGTGAATTGGGATAAATCAATGTTCGCAGGCACTTCTTGTAAAGAAGAGAGCATTTCGTCACTGGCATTCTCAATGTCCTCCGCTGTTGTTCCGGCAATGAGTGCAGCGACGGCTCTCAAGTCGGCACGTACAAAGTCAAGTTCGGTCTTATAGATTTTCATTCCACTGGTCCTCATCTGCTTTGCCCTTACTTTTGCCATGGTATTAAAATACTCGCGGCGTTGGTGCAGGTCTAGCATGAAGCTGTCGATCTTGATCTTCAGGCCGGTTGCAGAGACAACGTCCGCTTGATAGTCTTCGGCGTCCTTATGTTTGTAAACGTGCGATATGAAGAGCGGGGATAACAGAAGGTTGTACTTGATCGTCGAAAGGTGTCGTCCAAATTTCTTGCTGGTCTTCCCCTGGTCTCTCCATAGCGAACCTTGCCGGACGGGCAGAGACATCACGCCAGAGAATGTCGACCACCAGCTGAAGAAATGAGAAAAGAACTTCGGACTCAGATGGACGCTGTTGTAGCTTTCTGAGGAAGCCGAATCCGCACCTACCCAATTTTTATCATACGGTGCGGCAACGGCCAGGGAGAGGTGTACGTGATGGCTCCGGAAGTCATGGAACGCATCGTATTTGTTCAAATCGACGTCCTGAAGGAAGAGAGGATTCCTCAATACCACATCATAGTGATGTCTGGATTCCGAGGTGCGACTCCCATCCGGCAAATCACGTTCAAAGACGAGGCCCGCAGTCCATTGGACATTTCCTGATAGCTTCATGATAACTTTTTTGAAAATGGCGGTATTTCTCGTAGAACTGCTGCTTGATACGCTGTCTGAATCATTGCTTGCTCGCTGCTCCGGAGTGTTGCGGGCTTCATGACTGTAGTCTGGGATGGCTAGTATAAATTCTCCACTTTTGACAGTCATGAACTCGCGGGGGTCATCGACTTGATGTATCAGCCATTGTACGTCATTCCGCCAGCACATCGCGAAACCAGCACCGTAACCAGTAACAATATAAGGATCCCTCGTGCCTTTGAGTCGGAGTTGAACATCCCCGTCGCCCTTCCAATTCACAACCAGGCGCGAATGGAAGCTCAATCGAATCTTGTCCCAGAAGCCGACCCTTTCGGAGGGGTCTATTTCAGGTTTGGTGAAGCTCTCGATGATCATCATCATATCTTGTATCACGGGTTGATATGATGTACCCCAGGAAATGGTGGTCGGCAGGTTCGTGTTGATATCAATGACGGGCTTGGAATACGTCTTGACAGGTGCCACCGTCCTTCTGACGTCAATAGCGAAGGCTGGAATTTCTTCTCCGTCTGTCCCATGTTGCCCTTTGGGGACAATCTCGACTTTAACATGCTTGATAGATTTTTCATCTCGAAACTCTTCTGCGATGACGAAGTCGGTCCTGAGAGACCAGCTTGGCAGGCGAGCAGGCTGCCCGGGGCGTATAGCGGGGATATGGAGAAGATTGAGGGGATAATCTCGAAGGAAGATACGGGCTTCACCCATGTCAAGACTGAGGCTTGTGGGAATGAGCAGCCCGTATTTCATATCGTATGGCATGCCTTTGCCAATCTCATGGAGGAATTTGGGTAGGTCAGCTTCCGGAAAGGAGGGCTTGTCAATGATCAGATGTAGATCGCTGATGATCAAGGTCATCAAGCCAGGGCGATTTGGAATGCCAAGAATCGTTTCGGTCTCATGGTCGTCATGAGGGGGTTCGTCAGCGCCCATGAACAGCTGTCGGACGCTTTTTACTGTGTTGTTCTGCAGACGAAGCATCCAGTCGATTCGTCTTTTCCAGCTCCGAGAATTGTGCTCCTGAAGCTTGTCCCACGCCTCACTCGCATCTATTTTGGCATGGGTCGTCAATGAACAAACACCTTCACGATCGTATCTAATTCGATGCGGTTCCCTGCCGCGTCTTCCTCTGGAAGTGGATCGCTTTCTGGGAGTGGTCTCTACACTTCGTGAACGTCGATGACGATGATTGTCACCAGCAGCGTTGGGAGAGCCACGACGGCTCGAATGAGCAGATTGGGCGCGCAGTCGAGATGATGACCGCGGCCGCCTCTCGTCATTCATTCGCTTAACCTTTAGACGGAAGGCATCTTCGCGGGCAAGGCGTTGCTTCTGCTCAATACGGCCAACGTGATAGATCACTCCAAGTTTCCATTCAAACGGGTCGTCTTCTAGCTCGAAGCAAAGGGCTTTTGATCGGACAGAGATTCGAGGAACCTTGACAGGAGGAACGGGGTGCTTTCCCAGCACATACTCGTTCGACCGTGTCTGGAATCGATGTTGCAGCTGTTTTATGGCCTTTGAAGTGTTGATAAAATTATCAAAGACTCTGTACATCTGCAGCCCATGGGGCACTGCTAAGCGAATGAAGTCGGTTGAGACGTCGATGGTTCTCTCTTCGACCGTGGCGTGCTGAGTCTTCTTCTTGTTATGGCGTAAATCCACTCTGACGTTGCTGATGCTGACGATACGTGCCCAAATCCGTTTGAGATGCGGCGCTTCCGCATGTAAACGAGCAAGTTCGGCTTTCATAAATGGCGCAGACCATCTGTGTCGGCCACCTGAGATTTGGTAAATCTGAAGCATCATGGGGGGATCATGTGGCATATCAGCTCTGACTTGGAGGTAGTGCGCCTTTACATCGATTGCAAACAGTTCCGCATCCAAAGGTACAGGGAGATGCTCATGGAAAGTGTGATGATTTGCTGATTTCAGATGATGCTCTGGATCCTGTTTGGTGGGAACTGGCCCCACGAACGCTTCTTTCACAACGAAACCCGCAACACCTATTGAGTAGAATCTGTAGAGCGAGAATTCCAGATAGAACGCGCGAATGGATGAGTGAATGTGGAACAGAGGTCCTTGCTGATCCCTTGATGTGCTGAAAGCCGTTTCAAATCTCGGAATTGACATGAATGGTGTCGGTTCCCACCTATCAAGAGATTCGATGATGAAGCCGTCAAAGCCCTTGACATGACAGGCCAGTCGTCTTCCATCTGTCGGGTCACTAAGGTGATGCTTCTGTTGTGATGGGGAAAGCGAGACACCTTTGCTTGCCGAAAACGTTTCTTCGTATCGGACTGAGGTACTAACTTTTCGTCCTTTCGATTTTCGGCCTAACTCTGATTTTGCTGATGTATAATGGGCGGACCAAGATTCAAGCTCAAAGGCGACACCTCGAGTTTGGCCAGAGACACTGGAGTCGACGCCCGCGACCTCGATGCTGCAACCGGATCCCTCAAAACTCGCCTCTATAAGCCAAGTAGGAAGTTTCCGCAAGAAAGCTGCAGGAGGCGACTTTGGGACAACCGCTTTGTCCTCGGGAGAATGGTGTTTAAAGTGCCTCACTATACTATAGATCGCCTTGCTTACTTCTTCTCGCACCATGAGAATAGAGAAAGTCCGCAGATTTCCTTGGAGGGTGACAGAAACACCCGTCGAGGCGGTGAGCTGAAATTTGAGTTCCAAGGCTTCTGTAATGATTAAGTTGTGTGTCGTGCCTGTAGAAGCTTGATAATATAACCTGTGTGATAGAACGCGAAAGCTGGACCCCAGAGAATATAACAATTCTCCTCCTGCTGAGTGGGAGGATTCAACATCTAGAGAGATGGAGGAGACGGAGGAGATGATCATGTCGTACTCGCCTGGACCAGCATGAGCAGGATTTGCGACTGGTAACACAAACCTGAGCACGGGTTCATGGATCGAGAACTTGATGCTTGCCTTGGGGAGGAGTCTTGAGATGAGGCGGTGGTGGTTACGAGAAGGAGGTTGAGCTTGAGATTTATGGGTCTGGGTGAGAGCCAATAATTTCATAAGGTGCTGTGGTGCTAGGTCGAGGGAAGGTGATGTGACGACTAAGTTAGCGAACAAGATATTTGTATTCCTTTCAGCGACGTCTCGGTCTTGTGAGAAACTCATAGTTTTCGCTGGGAGAGTTGTCCTGATAGTCGTCGTAGCCATGGGAATGTACATGATTCTGTTCGGGCGAGAATCGTCTTCGTCGAGACTGACGGAAATCGACAGAGCGGCAAGCAAGGCTTGGTGAGCAGTGTCTTCCCTTTGAAAGTACATACGATGAGCAGGGGAGCTTTGCTCAAGCCTATGCAGATCAATGCCGATTTCGTGAATGACGACGTTGGCGACCAACGGAAGATTGGCCTGTCTGAGTGACTCGACCTCTTTCGATATGCGCACAAAACTCATGCCGACCTGAACTTCCTGGACGCTCTGGAGGGTAGAACGCAGGAACTCTTTCGAGTCCGCCACGGTTTGCACAATAGCAGCTTCACGGCTTCCAGGACTGTCCAATTCTTCCGCCACATCTTCAAACGAAATCTCTTCGATTGGACTCAGTTGGTCATATTGTTCAGAGGCTCTTGCCGTCCTCCTACCTTTCCGCGCGAAGTGAATCATCTCATCGACAGGGACGTAGACACGGCCACCCTTTATGGCGATCGAAGTGTCCCGAAGACCCTCCCGATCTTTGTACAGTAACCCGTGCACATTGATCATCAGGGCATCAAGTATCTCAATCGGATCGCGGCCACCAACTCCCATCTGGATGCTCTTGACCGTGAAAACCCATTCCGCCGGCTTCTGGTCTCCCAGGGGATCCTTCTTATGTCGGAAGAGTCGGCCGCGATCAAGGAGCTTTCGTCTGGTGTACACGGCCGCTGAAAAGGCCGAAATCTGGACATAACCGACTCCAACGATCTCCGCAGAGGTGTTATAGGCAGTGACATCGAACATTCGCAACAAGTGGATTTTGCGATGCAAGCGCTTTATGTGCTCTTTGATATTGGTCAACCGTTTCCAAAGCTGGCTTTTCCCGCTGGAGGGACGTCCTCCATGCCGACGTGAATCTTCATCTTCATCTGGCTTCTCTTTAATAATATCTTGTGAGCCTGTCTTTGCTGAAGTGTTTTCCAGCGCGGCGGGATCGATGGTGACCTTCAAATCTTCGAACACTATACTGATCCATGTCGGTTGGGCGAAAGTCGGCCTGCGTAAGCTCAGTCCAACTCCTCGCAGGTCGATTCTCAGTCCCTCTCTTGGAGCGTATGAGATATGCCGCAGACTAAAGTAGCCAATGCGTTGAATTGATATGCCAGTCGCAATCCGCAGAATCGCGAGTAGGATAAAGGAGGATAGGTAGAGGAGAAGGAGAACGGCGGCGACCGAAGTGACATTGACAAGAGGCATGTTGGTGTTTCGGTGCTCTGCGAGTGCTCCAGCGCCGACCGGAGAAAGACAATAGAAGTCAGGCAGCGGTCACTTGGGTCATCTCAGTTCACGAGTAAGATCGCCATCGTCGAGACTGCAGTCCCTCTGAAGCCACATAGCCGACAGAGCCTTTCCCATCACTCTTCCCATAACACTTTGGACCGAAGCAACGCGGTATCGACACAACGGGGGGATGCGTGGCTGCGCGAATAAAGTCAAAGTCTGGGGGTGTGTTCTTGAAATTTGTGGGGGATTGCCTGTTGGGTGGTCCTCGGGCTCGTGGTGAGGTGAAAGAGCAGATGTTCCAGGTGCGGGGAAAGATATACCGCTCTATCGCACTTCACAGCAGTAGATTAAAGTCGTGCGACAGCAAGGGAGAAGGTTGCCGGCGAGCCCGGTCAATATCAATCAAAGCTCGTGGTGGAGCAGGAATGTCGCGAGGGTGCGCAGGGTGCGGGCCAGAAAATACGAGGAACTGGTGGAGGATCCAGACTCGAGGGTGGAGCGGCAAGTGGCCACGCTGCACCAGCCGCTCCGGGAAGATGCTCAAGGATGCTCTTCTGCACATATGCAGCCCAAAGCAGCTATCCATTGGTGAGTCAGCCTGTGTAAAAGATGAGAAGGATGGACTAGAGGATCAAGCGGCAATGCTTGCTGAAGCACCCCGTTCCATTCTATGCTAAAATTGTTGTATCATACACATCATAGTGCAACAGATAACTGCCGCTGCCAATGGTCCTTGACCAGGAACATCTGGCACTATGTCCAATCCTCATCTGTCGAACTGAAACCACCCACTACTCGACGTTCCTGATTCTGGCTGTTTCCGTATCTCTGCCGTGTTTGGAGTAGGGCTAGCACGGCCGAATGCGTGTCTCGTTGGAGGCTGTCAGTCTCAAAGCCCGAATTGTTCGCGCGGGTACTTTTGCAGACCTTTTCCTCTTGTCATTTTGCCTTCCCAGTATATTTGATTCCATCCAGGGATCCTACCGGTCCGCCGGCATCCTTCTTCAGGCTCGTAGGGAGGGTCGGCTTTCCGGTGGGCCTCTCCTAGAGTTGTCAGCTTGATAGACGCCGCCGCACTCTTCGTTACCCGTAACCCCTTTCATCCTGGCCAACGTCATAATAGGCGAATAATACTGATATTGTGAGGCAGTTCTCAGCTTGGACGACTCCGGGGCTCCTTTTTCTGGGAGCTAACGTGTTCGTCCCTTGCCGCTCGTAGGATTGCTATCTTGTCATCCAGTACACCAATTTCTGCTTCAACCCTGAGGAGCTTGTCTAAAAGCAAATCCTCATACTCTTTGTCCGACAGAGATTTCATGGGAGTATAGGCAGCGAGCCCGTTTCTCAGGCGGGAAGAGAGTTGAGTAATAGACGGAGAGCCTTGCGTGGCATTTAGTCCTGCCTGAGACAGAGCCGCAATCACTCCGAACATGATGCTACCAGTCACCAGGCTTCCTCGAGGCACTGACTGCTGTCAAAACATGTGCATTCTGCTTTGCATCCGCAACTCACAAAAGGTTGCAATCACTGCTCCAGAACAAGAACCTGCAAGACCACTTGCGGCGACTTTGTGCAAGTCTTTATCTCGAGATAAAGGCCCTGCCAGCAACACGCTCCGGCAATCTGACAAAACATTAGCTGGTGCCAGTCCGAAATTTGAACAGTGACAGAGACAGAAGAAGGTGGTGCCAGCACAGAACCATTGCGTTGCAGAGATTGTAGTATATGCTAATGGATTTGAGGTCTGGATGAGAGTTCCGGCTACACCACCGTATACGGCACCACAAGCCCCTGTTTGTCAGAGTCAATGAATCAGGTCTCTGAATTGTTTTTCAGATAGGATGATTTCCTACCGGTAGCAGCTCCAACATAGAGGGCAGGCACAAACGGCTTCCAGAAGACACCGTTCCTAACGTCAGGGTGGCCGTCGGACATGGCGCATTATACTCCGTACAGCTCGAGACTCCGTACAAAAGGAAAGGACAAGGACCGGTTGGCAGTTTGGCCAGTGAGTTGGGAATAGATGCGCCGTGCCTTTCGAGTCGGAGATGGAGGATCTGGAGGATCCTGCCAAGCCCCCAACTTGAACAGGTGCGTTAAACCTGAACGGGCAGCAAGCGGGTCAGGAAAGAAATGGCTCCAGGCCGGACAAACTTGCCTGCAGAGTCTCCTACCGCCCGCAAATCTTTCAAGACTTTCGTACACATCCACTGCGCCGACATCCACAAGGCGCTGCACCTCATCTGCTATCAAACAACATCAATCTCACGCCTCTGTCTGGTCGAAGTGCGTTCAACGACGTGCTTGGGCTGCGACATCCAACTCGTATTTTCGAATCCACCAGCGGACGTTCCCATTTAGTGCGCCTGCTGAGATTTCGCAATCATGGGTATGAGCGCATGGCGACATTCAGCGCATAGCCTGCGCCACCCTTGTTGTTGCGAGATTTATCTGCTGACATCGAGTAGCTCCCAAAAAGAACCAAAAAATGTCCCTAGGGACTTTTTTGCAGGACGAGAGTGCGTTCCACCCTAGGTTGGGGTGCAGCCGAGCTGAGATGCTAACTGTTGGTAGACTATGGCTCTTGGGCAGATGAGATGGAGGATATGCCCCTCCCTAGTGAGCCCCCTGCGTACTGACTGATGAAAGGACCATGAGGCAATGGACACTGACATGTCCGTGAAACAACAGCCTCCGAAACAAGACCAAGCTATGGGTCAGAACGACGTGCATTCAGCACAACTACTGGCATGGGCAATGGCTATCCAGGTTAGTCATTGTTAGATCACCCAGCAGGGCAGATTGCTGACTGGAGACTGTCACCAACAACAGAGCGCCGCGACACATTCCCCGCGAGAGAACAACTCCCCCTTCCCACACAACCCCCGTTCACGGCACATCTTGCAAATCTATCATTCGACGCTACACAGGGAGATATAAACGACTTCTTTAGAGATTGCCAGGTTACAAATGTCCGCATTGTTGAAGACAAACAAGATCGTAAGCCTAAAGGATTCGGTTATGTTGAATTTGCAACGTTGGATGGTCTTAAGGCTGCGTTGGCTCTCAGTGGCAGTAACCTGGCAGGTCGTCAGGTCCGTATTAGCGTTGCAGAACCACGTGAGTTACTTCCGAGTCCCTTCTGTGAGTAGAACTGACTCTCTGGCTAGCGAAGGAGAGACATGAGACCCGCGACTTCAGTGACTGGTCAAGAAAAGGACCTCTCCCAGATTTGCCGAGTCAACGCAGAGTTTCCGACAGGCCAGGAGGGTATGGAGGCCGAAGCTTTGACAACATGTCAGACGCTGGCAGTGAGAGGGGCCACGGCGAACGAGGCCATCGGCGTGGGTTTGGGGAAGGAGATGGAAAGGTCCGGGACTTCTCGAATTGGGAAAGAAAAGGTCCGTTATCACCGGTCACTCCTGGACCCACAAGTCTGCGTGAGGGTGGTAGACAGGGAAGCAAGGAAGGCTACGGCTTCCGCAAGAACTCGCCATCCTGGGGCGAGGGGAGATCACAGGACGGGTCTCGACCCCCAAGACGCGAATACGCTGAACGCCCCCCTCCTGAGCGACAGCCGACTGCATCCGAACTTGATAATCAATGGCGCGCTCGAATGAGGCCTGATACCGCCAAAGCCCCGACTCCCGAAGCCAGCGAGCCTTCCTCTCCTGCGGCGCCGCCCGCTCCAGCGACCAGGCCGAAACTGAATTTGCAGAAGAGAACTGTTTCCGAAACGGAACCGGTAGCATCCCCGGCTCCGATTGCAGATTCCAAATCGAGCCCCTTCGGAGCAGCTCGTCCGGTTGACACGGCGTCCAAGGAGAAGGAAGTTGAAGAAAAGCGCCAACTCGCGATCCGGCAGAAAAGGGAAGCCGAGGAAAAGGCAAAGGCTGAAAGAGCCGAGGAAAAGAGACTGGCAAAGGAAAAAGCTGAGTCGGATAAAGAGCGAGTCAAGGAAACGACCAGCAAGGAGAGCAAGGAGCCCAAAGAGCCCAAGGATACCAATTCCGCGAAAGAGAACGGCGAGGACAACGCACAATCTACGCCAAAGTTTGACATCCTACGCCGTGCTGACTCGGGCATGAACGACATGGTTGCAGATGATGAAAACGACGATGAGGGTGAAGAACTGCCTCAACCAACGAACAACAAGGCAGTTAAGCCTAAGGAAATTGTGCAGACCCCTAGTTCTGCGAAGACCAACGGCTCTTGGAGGAATGGACCGGCGGCCCAGCCTCCCGCAGCCAGCACTGGTACAGAGCTGGAAGAAGATGGCTGGAGCACGGTGTCCAAGCCACAAAAGCAACGTAGCAACCGGCGATACGGACCGTCCAGAGGAGCGGCGTCCTAATGCCATATCAAAGTTGCAACTCCAGGTCGCGCGAACTCTAGCTCAGCACATGTGCTGTTACCAGAAGCTCCTCGTGCGGCCCTTTGTACATCAACTCGTCTCTCGCCATATCTAGCCAACCTGCGGCTTTCGAAGTACCGTCGGTGGGGGGGAGGCAGGTTTCAGCACTTTTGGCTATTCTCCAGTCTTCGCACTTGTTCCCAAAAATGCAAGGAATCGGGAGTCTACTTACTTTGTCCAACATGGAGGAGTTTGGGAGAGGGGAAAGTGCGGGATTGCAGCCAGAGAAAGTCTGTGACATGGATGGGATCGAGGCATAGGGGGAAAAAATATTTGAAGAGACAGTCTCTCGACTCGCAGTTGCATGTTCACTCAAGGCTGGCCAAATACAACAGACCACATTGCCTTTTAGATGGATCATAGAGAAATTACTGACTTTTAAGCATGTTGCGCTGTTCTCTTGCTGGGTCTTATATGCCGCCAGAGGCAGGGATTCCATGATACAGTCCCAGCATAGGACCTGTTCGATGTAGCCAATGTCACTGGAGGGAGATGCGGATCCTGGACAGATCCAACATCAATCTTTGCGATTGATTAGACTCATCTACAACCGTAGGGTACTAATTGTATGGTAATCATAATAAGAATGTGTACTTGTAGGAGGCTTCGTCAAGGCGGTGATGTTTGGGGCCAATCAGCGACAAGATCGCGTCTGCCAAGGCCACAGTCAAAAATTGAAGGAGCGGAATGTGAACGAAGGAGAAAAAAAAAGTTACCAAGTCGAAGATCCTTTGAATTAAGCAACCAAGTTCTCTACTAGTTGCTCCTCGCATCATGAGATGGGGTTCAGACGATGGCGAAGGGCCTGGACGATCTGATCGAGTTTCTGCTCGAGGAGATTGCCGTCAGCGGAAGTCGAGGTCAGTTGGTTTCGCGTGCATTTTCATCCCGAAGCTGCAGGATCCGAGGTTCCAGTGGCGATGATCAAGCTTCATTCTTCACCACTGCATCTGCCCCACATCTATGCATCCCCTTCAGCGAATGCTAACTTGCAGGTTTATCCGCAGGCGTAACCATCAATGATATCGTACTCTTCATCTCTTCATTCTACGACGAACCCGAAGATGGCTCAGAACCAAAGGCGCCCGTTGATGGTCTCGAGCCATGCACAAGAGTCCCAGTTGACCGGCCACTCCTTTCCAAGATTTGGCTATGGCTAGGTCGGCATCCTGATGTCTCCATCGGTGTCAATAGACGATACAACAAGACACCGTTGGCCGAAGTCGAGATTCAGTTTCCCAGCTACGTGGACCTTAGTCTTAACAACAGGCAAACGCCAGCCGAGGATGAGGCCGAGTCGGACGGTTCACACTTAGCCGGTCCAACAAAGAAGCGGCCAGGCTCCAAGAAAGCCCATGTTGCCAAAGGTCCACGAATCTGTGTTAACGAGGCACGAATCTATCAGGCTATATGTGGCCATCCTCCAGATAGTAGCAAGGTTGTGCCTCTTGAGTTCGAACTCTTGTCTCATATCGCCGCAACAAGATCAACTGGCATTCTCCAGGGGGACCTTGTCAGAGCCACCGGTCAGGATAAACGCTCCGTACCAAAGCGGACGGATGCTTTGCAAAGCAAAGGCTACATTACCAAGGAGACCGTATTCCGCCATGGTAATCGGACAAGCCGCCTCACCCTAAAAAAGTTTGCCCGCCATAATGCAGCAGACGTCGAGCCATTCCATAAGCTGCACAGCCTACCGCAACATGGTTCTACTTTACGTGATGTCGTCCGCAGAATCTTTGAGGTGTTGGAAGACCACAGCCTCATGTCTCAGACGAGTCTAGCGGAAGAATTGAGCCTAATGTCTTCAGCAGAATCGGCCATCCTTTCCAAAATTATCCGTCGGCTCGAGAAGATAAAGTGTGTCAAAAGAGTTCGAACTGCCGTCGGACCTTCTGCAACGTCTGGCGACCTGCGACAATTCGTTCAGCTTTTGCGGCGTGCCGACGTGGTCGACCTAGAGAACTTTGACACGGGGAGTTTGTCTTTGAACCAAACAATCGAAGAACTAGCATCTGCCGTCGACTCCGAAGACCGGAACGACCACAACGTCGCACTTCCTACGGTCGAAGATGCAAACGAAGATAGCCTAGAAGCTGTGTACAGACCTGCCAGATGGAACCCTGGTCGCCTAATGCCTAATGTTCTAGTTGATGCTGTTCGACTTGCAGGTACGGATGGTCTGACAAATCTGGTAAGCCTTCAGCACCTCTGTTCTTGCCGTGATCCTAAAAATCAGCAGAATGCACGCCAAATGATTACTGGCGATTTTGTGCGTCGTCAGTTAGAGTCTCTTCTCCTCCGAATTTCATGCGAATCACTTGTGATTCAGCCGCAACATTTGCGACACCTGGCTATTGTCCGAACTACTGTGAGGTTTGACGGGGTCGCTCAGTATGTTCATTACTCGTGGGACGTCTTTCGGCAAAGAGTGGCAGGAGGCGGTCTTGACCTCTCTGAAATTCCAGCTGCTCCTCAAATCATGAGAAAACTGGCAAAAAAAGATGTTGGCTTTGATGGT